CCCCCCCCCCCCCGGATTTAAGGTTGGTTCGGCCCTTTGGACCCGCCCCCCCCCGGGGGGGGGGATTCAAGTAAAAGCAGCCCCCGGGGGGCTTGGTTAAACCCGTAAAGATCCCCACCTGTGTATTTTGGACACAACCGGGGGAACCGCCAAAGGGGACCCCCCCCCCCCCCCCCTTCCCCCTTCCCCCTCCCCCCGAGGCAGGTACCCCCCCCCCCGCCCCCCGTCCGCCCGCCCCCCTTTTGCTCGCTCTCTCCCTCTCTCCCCTCACCGCCGCGACACGCCCTCGTCTCAGGCGAAGCGGACCGAGGAGCAGCCGGGCACCGACTTCCGCGGCAAGTACACCGGCGCCGAGCAGGTCTCCCCCCACCACCCCCACCACTCCTCTCCCTCCTCTCCCTCACCCCCCTCGCCCCCCCCCCACCCCCCCCCACCCCCCAGGTCGCGCCCTCGATGGAAGACATGAACGAGCAGATCCACGAAAAGGTGATCTGACTCCCTTTAGACTGCCCGAGACTGCCGGTGCTGCACCGGCGAGCTGAGGAGTACCCGAGATTGCATTGCCCGTGCCGCGCCGGCGATCTGAGACTACCCGAGGACTACCCGAGGTTGCCCGAGCTGGGCGAGCTGACAGCAGCACACCTCCTCGCCCTCCTCCCCCCTTTCCCAGGTGATCCTCGCGACGCTCAAGTCGATCAAGCTCAAGAACGGCAAGGACGCCACCTCGATCTACAACCGCGGCGAGTGCAACCTGCACATCAACCCGTCGGGCAAGTTCATCATCGGCGGCCCGCAGGGCGACGCCGGCCTCACCGGCCGCAAGATCATCATCGACACGTACGGCGGCTGGGGCGCGCACGGCGGCGGCGCCTTCTCGGGCAAGGACCCCACCAAGGTGGACCGGTCCGCGGCGTACGCGTGCCGCTGGATGGCCAAGTCGGTGGTCAAGTCGGGGCTCGCCAAGCGCGCGTGCGTGCAGCTGTCGTACGCGATCGGCGTCGCCAAGCCGCTCTCGCTCTTCGTCGAGACGTACGGCACCGAGCAGGGCGAGCTGACCGCCGCCGCCATCACGGATCTCGTCAAGCTGTACTTCGACTGCCGCCCGGGCGCGCTCGCCCGCGACCTCGCGCTGCGCCAGCCCAAGTACAACGTCACCGCCGCGTACTGCCACTTTGGCCGCGAGCCGTACGCCGAGGGCGACCTCAAGTTCTTCTCGTGGGAGGACGCCAAGGACCTGTCCAAGTACGCGGGCATGAAGGCAGCTGATAGATGGGGAATACGTACTCCGACTGGGATTCGACCGTTTTCACACAAAGCAATCTAGGCCCGAATTCACCCCAACGTTGGAGCTTTCACACTGCAGGCTGCCGACATCGCGACGGAGGTCGAGGGCAAGAAGGCCGAGATCCTGACCAAGTGGGTCGACTAGAGAGACCCGGCGCGGCCGCAGTGCGCTACGCGTCGCCTCCCCCTGCCCCTGGTTCGCCTCACCCGCGCCCAGCTAGTAGGTGTCTCGAGTAGGTGTCTGCTAGTTCGGTATTTTGAATCTTGTTGTTCCAAAACACCTCGACCTCGAGGACCCATGAGCCATATGTTCTATGCTCGTCTAGATACTAGATGAGTGTCGTCTAGCCTCGACGCTCGAGATCTCGTAAGTCGTATCTGCGAGTGCCATCTGTCGACGCACGAACACCGCTGTGTCGCTATACGCAATACCGAATACGGGTTACGGCGCTTTCGCTCGGGTTTCGGGGGGGGGGGGGGGGAGAGAAAGCAGAAAGGCTTATTGAAAGGGCCGCGTGCGGCGTGGCACGTGGGGCTGGCGATTGGCCAAAGTACAGGTTTCGATCCGGGCCACCGCAAATTTTGATCAGCAAATTTCGAGGAGCGGCCGCAAATTTTGAGGTAGATTTTGATTGTCAAAACGTGTCCGTCTTGGCACAGGATAGAGCATATAGGCGGCGAACACCCAGGTGCGCAGGGACATCGCGACTCTGCCCGCTCGCTCGACCCTTTTGCCGCGAGAGGGCGCCGGCCGCGTGTAAGAGGTGGCTGGCGCCCTGAGGCGGCAATTGGTGGCGTGGCTGGGGAGTGCGGAACGCTACTGGCGGCGTGACAGGGCCTCTCTCGGATGCGTGTGCCGCCCATCGGCACGCGGGTGCGCAGACAGCGCGACTCTGCCCGCTCGCTCGACCCTTTTGCCGCGAGAGGGCGCCGGCCGCGTGTAAGAGGTGGCTGGCGGCCTGGCGCCCTGAGGCGGCATTTGGTGGCGTGGGGAGTGCGGGGAACGCTACTGGCGGCGCGACAGGGCCTCTCTCGGATGCGTGTGCCGCCCATCGGCACGCGGGTGCGCAGACATCGCGACTCTGCCCGCTCGCTCGACCCTTTTGCCGCGAGAGGGCGCCGGCCGCGTGTAAGAGGTGGCTGGCGGCCTGGCGCCCTGAGGCGGCATTTGGTGGGGTCAGCGTGCGGTGCTGAGTCTTACTCGTCGGCGTTGGGGCCAGATCCCAGCGCAGAACTCTGCAACGCTGGCATACAAACACAAGAAGACTAACCCTAACCCTAACCCTAACCCTAACCCGTACCCTAGGTCTCAGCGTGCGGGGCTGAGTCTTAGTTAGTCGTCGGCGCTGTGGGGCCAGATCCCAGCGCAGAACCCTGCAACGCTGGCATATACAGACACAACAAGACTAACCCTGACCCTAACCCTAACCCTAACCCTAACCCTAACCCTAACCCTCTAACCCTAATAACCCTAACCTAACCCACCCCCCAACTCCACACCGCAAATTTGAAAGATCTTGATGAAAATCAGGCCCGACTGCAAATTTCTTCAAAACTTTCGCAGGCGCTCCGCGCCTGCAGATTTTGAAATAAATTCGACAAAATTGGTACCTGGCCCAACTGCGCGAGCCGCTTGGGGGGGAGGACGTGTCTCGCTCTGCTCTAGAGGGGGGCGGGCGGACCGAAAATGCAAATCGCACTCTCCGCAGGGTCCAGGGATTCCCCTATCCAAGGTGTGTGTGGGGGGGGCGGGGGCGGGGCACTCACATGGCCAGCGCGCAGCGGCTCTCAAAGTCGTAGTCCAGAGAGAGGCCTCCGAGACGAAGACATGCCTTGAGACATGGGCGGTCTACGGAGCTACGGAGAGCGGGGAGCGTAGCCTCTCGCAGCCTAAGGTGCGCGATCATGCAAAGAGCCAAACGAGAGTCCTCGAGCGAGGTCGCGACTCGAGAGCGGCGCCGGTAGCGCCGGGGTTCTGTCCTGTTCTGTGTCCTCACCCCCGACTCGGCTCGAGCGCCTCCTTGGGCGCCTTCTTGTAGCACACCGATCCGTCCAGAGGGACCGTCGACAGGATCGGGCCGTGGGGTAAGCTCGAAGCCTGAGGGGGGGGAGACGTGGGGTGGTGGGTGTTGACGCGCCGCGAAATTGATAGTGGGATGGGCGGGGGGCGCGGGGGGGGGGGGGGTACACCCGTGCAGACCAAACTGAAGAAAGGCACTTCGTCCCGCATGATTCGAAGCCGAGGCCCCACTTTGCATGCCCTTGTTGTGGTCGTCGGTCCGGCACGCGCTATTGTGCCATAATGGGGTGTGCGCGCGTCAGAGGGAGTCCCAGAGAGCCGGGGCGCGACGCGGGGGTGGGTGGTGAAGGGGGGGGGGGGGGGGCACCCGACTTTCATGCGAACGAAACGATCTTGTTGACGGCGAAGGGGAGCACCGCCGGGACGAGGGATGCCGGGCTTGGCGGTGGTGGCGGGGGGCGGAGGCGGTGGAGGCGGGGGCGACGGCGGGGAGATATGCGCAATGCGGGTTTGGCGCGCTGGACTTTTTGTAAATTAGACACGGCGTTTTATTTAACCGTGCTCCGTGGGGAGCGTGGTTGTGACGAGAGAGCTCGCGGAGAGCTTTTACATGGTGTGTTTAACGTCGTGTGGCTCCCAGGGGTTGCCCGTTTACACGGGACTCAGCCATGTGTCGCTGTGTTGAGTTGGGTTCGCGTTGACGGTTCTTTGCGGCTGTGCGTCGCAGACGCCCTGTTCGTGGACCTCCTTTGAGACACGGTGTCTTCCCGATCACGATGGTACGCACAAGCCGAAGATAGGTCCGAAATGGACGCACGTTGTGTCGGGGGGGCAGCAGGCTGTAGGCTCCGCCGGTGGCTTGATGCCAGCGCATTGGCCAAAGGGTTTGGTGGGACAGGCGGGCGGTGCTGACGGCGGCGGCGGCGGCGGCGGAGAAGGCGGAGACGGCTCCTCTGGAATCGGCGACGGAGAGGGCTCCACCTCTGGCTGCTCCTGGGGGGGGGCAGGGGAGGGCGGCGGCGGCGGAGAAGGGGAGGGCGGTGGCGGAGGAGGTATCGGAGGCGGCGCAGGCAGGCCCATGGCTGGAGGCCGGGGCGAAGGCGACGGGCGAGAGTCGCTCGGCTGGAGGCTGTAGGAGTACCCATCCACGACTTCAGGCTCCTCGGCGTCCGCTGTGAGGTTGGCCTCAAGGCCTGGCTCGTCACTCTCGACGGCGAAGCCCTGCGGCACCCTGACCGCCTCCCGCCCGTCCGACGCTCTTGGTGCATCCGCCGTGCGAGCGAACAGTGAGAGGACTGCTGAAATGTCAGAGGACCGCGCCGCAATGTCAGTCGCGGCCATCGCGAGGACGGCGGCGAGGCCAAGAAACAGCACCATTGACGCGGCGCAGCGTCTCGGGGGTTTGCAACGCCCCATTCTGGACGCAGCGTCGTCCCTGATGAGGCCGTAGCGGCCGGATGGAGGCGCGTCGAAGCCAAGCATGGCTCGCTATGTTCGTCCTGGATGGTTGGACGCGCGTCGGCTTTTACAACAATGAAGAGAACGAAAATTGACGGCCGACCTTGGTTTTCTTTTGAGCGTCCAGTGTGCTGTGAGAGAGGAGTCGTAGTCGTGCGGGCGTGCAGCGCCGTGACACGACCTCCTCGATCTGCACAGCACTCGATGCAGTACACAACGGGGGGCGAGCGGTGATGTGCGCAGACCTGTTTTGTGGTAGTAGAGGCGCGGGAAGCCCTCAGGCTGGAGCATAGGCTGGTGGCTGGAGTCCTGTAGGCGCCATAGTGCGCTCGGCGCACAACGCACAGCGACAGACAGGCACAGCGACAGGCACAGGGACAGCCACAGGGACGCGACAGCCACAGCCACAGCCACAGGCGCAGCGACAGCGACAACAACAGGCGTGCAAGGTAGTTGACTGCCGGGCTCATCACACCGCCGCTTGCGGGCTCGCTACCCTCGCGATGGCCTTCCATCTCCCATATCTCCCCATATCTCCCCATATCTCGCAGGCTCGCTACCCTCGCGATGGCCTTCTCTCTCCCATATCTCCCCATATCTCCCCACATCTCGCAGGCTCGCTACCCTCGCGATGGCCTTCTCTCTCCCATATCTCCCCATATCTCCCCACATCTCGCAGGCTCGCTACCCTCGCGATGGCCTTCTCTCTCCCATATGTCCCCATATCTCCCCATATCTCGCAGGCTCGCTACCCTCGCGATGGCCTTCTCTCTCCCATATCTCCCCATATCTCCCCATATCTCGCAGGCTCGCTACCCTCGCGATGGCCTTCTCTCTCCCATATCTCCCCATATCTCCCCATATCTCGCAGGCTCGCTACCCTCGCGATGGCCTTCTCTCTCCCATATCTCCCCATATCTCCCCATATCTCGCAGGCTCGCTACCCTCGCGATGGCCTTCTCGCGCGCCGGCCAGCCCGCGCCGGCGCTGCTGGACGCGCTCGCCGCCGAGGCGGCGCCGCGGCTGCGCGAGTTCTCGACTCACGAGCTGGCCAACCTGGCCGCCGCCTTCGCCACCGCCGGCCACGCCGCCCCGGCGCTGCTGGATGAGATCGCGATCGAGGCGGCGCCGAGGCTGCATGAGTTCGACTCGGAGCAGCTGCGCATCACGGCGAGGGCCTACGCGACCGCAGGCGGCCGGCAGCTAGCATGGTTAGGCAGAGCTGGGGGGATCTGGGGAGTTCTGGGGAGATATGGGGGAGATATGGGGGAGACATGGGAAGCGTTTGCTGCACGATCTCGGCACGATCTCGGCTCGATCTCGGCCCGATCTCGGCTGCATAGGCCACGCCGCCCCCGCGCTGCTCGGCGCCATCGCCGCTAGCATCGCCGCGTCCGAGCGACGCGGTGGCCAGCAGCACAGCGAGGCTGCTGCCTGAAGCCGCACCGTCGCTCGTGATCGGTGTGCGGCGCGAATCCCACTCCCCCGTCTTGGGGATCCCCGCTCTCCGCGTCTGTGCCGGGCCGCCTCACGCGTAGCCCCCTCTCCCCGTGCCACTTTGCTTGCTACCACTCTCTTCACTACCACTTGCGCGCTTTTGATGTACAATCTACAAATCCACCTCCTGCACACTGTTCTGTGACTGACCACCGGTGCACTTAACCGCTTTGACTTTTGTCAGCCGACTTTTAGTTTTTAGCTGTGTGTTAGCTACTGTGTGCCTCTCTTTGCGTTTTGCTTGTGAGTGCAGCAATCGCTCAGGAAATTCTTTTCTACGTCAACCCGTCATGCGGCAGGTGGCTCGCTCGGGCTCGCTGCCACCGCGGTGGGTCACCAAGAGCTTCCTCCGCGTGCGGCGTCATCACCACGCGACGCGCTCGCCACGCCTCACCCGGGCAAAAAGAACGATCGCGCGCCGCCGCCGCCCGCCTCGCCGCGCCGCGCCGCGCCGCGCCGCGCCTCGCCTCGCCTTGCAGCAGCGCACGCGCACACGCACCCGCGCGCCCGCGCTCGCTCCGCGAGAGCGAAGCAACCCTCCAAGCGAGTTTCGAGCCGGGAGCCAAAAGGTCCCAGCTCGAACCGCGAACCGGCTCGACCACTGCAGTGGCGGTTCTGCAAAGGCACTCAAGGGCAGTGCCTCATATAACGTGAAATAGTGCGAGCGCGCGAGATACTCACCCGACCCACCGTGCCCTCGCGAAAGAGATCTCGCGCCGCGCGCGCTCGCACACGCCGCCCGAGAGCACTCCCACCCCCGCCGCCCTCAAGCTCACAGGTTGAGTTGAGGAGAAGCAGCTGAGGGAGATCAAAGCGGGAGAAGGCGGCCACGCCTCCGGGTCGTGCGTACCGCCTTCGGGCGAGAGTGTCCCCCCAGCGTCTGCTCCCCAGCAGACGCTCCGGTAATCAGGCCGAGAGTACCAGGCAGGTGGGGAGAAGAGCCCAGGGAGGGGAGAGGAGAAGAGCCCAGGGAGGGGGGAGGAGAAGAGCCCAAGGCGGCCTCCCTCTCCCTCCCCTCCCACCGGGCCTCCCTCTCCCTCTCCTCCCACCGGGCCTCCCTCTCCCCCTCCTACCGCCAAGTCTCGAGGGGCCAGCCGCTGGAAGGGGCAAGCCAGCGGCACGAGGGCTTCAGCCACACAGCTACCAAGGGAACGCGACCCACACAAAGCACCAAAGTTAGGCATACCCCCCGGCGCAGTGTCCCCCGCTATGTGTCGCCGTTCGTCGGGGCGCGCAATCCTGTGCAGTCAGGGCAAGTGGGGGCGGGGTGGAGTGCCCAGGCCTTTGTTTCCTGGGATTTCTCTGCCCAGTCCGGGGGTGCGTCGAACCTTCCATCACCCTGGGAACGTCCGGGTGTTGGAAGTAAAGATATATTACTTGTGAGTGCAGCAAGAGCCAAGACGAGTGTGAAGAGAGAGAGCAGCAGAGCACGCACGCGCTCGTCTTTTTTCCGTGCAGGGTGGAGGCTAATTCAGGGTGAGACGCCCCCCCCCCCCCCCCCGCAGCCGGGTCACACTGATCACTGTTGTGTTCGAAACACGGTTGTCTGTTTTCTTTCCTCCCTGTCTCACTTGCACCTTCACAACCCCTGCTCACTGCGCTCAAGCGCCCACGTCTCGACCTTCTTGGGCAGCATCAGCTGGTTCGACAGGTCATCTCCGTGGCCTAGGCAGCCGTCCTCGCCCTCGCCCCACGTAAAGACGGCGCCGCCAGCGGTGAGGGCGATGCTGTGGTCGCATCCCGCCGACACAGCGACGACGCGCTGGCCAGCAAAGGCCTCGACCTTCTTCGGCAGCAGCTGGTTCTGCTCGTCGCCGTGGCCCAGCTGGCCAAAGGCTCCGAAGCCCCAGCTCCAGACGGCGCCGTCGGCGGTGAGGGCGAAGCTGTAGTGCTCTCCCGTCGACACAGTGACGACGCGCTGGCCGGCAAAGGCCTCAATCTTCTTCGGCAGAGGCTGGTTCTGCCCGTCACCGTGGCCCAACCGGCCAGAGGCTCTCCAGCCCCAGCTCCAGACGGAGCCGTCGGCGGTGATGGCGAGGCTGTGGTATCCTCCAGCCGACACAGCGACGACGCGCTGGCCAGTAAAGGCCTCAATCTTCTTCGGCAGCAGCTGGATCTGCTCGTCGCCGTGGCCCAGCTTGCCATAGGCTCCACGGCCCCAGCTCCAGACAGCGCCATCGGCGGTGAGGGCGAGGCTGTGTTCGCCTCCCGCCGAGACGGCGACGACGCGCTGGCCCGCCAAGGCCTCGATCTTCTTCGGCTGCCACTGGTCCTGCGCGCCGCCGTGGCCCAGCTTGCCCCAGCCCCCACTGCCCCAGCTCCAGACAGCTCCGTCGGCGGTGACGGCGAGGCTGTGCCGCTCTCCAGCCGACACAGCGACGACGCGCTGCCCCTCAAAGGCCTCGACCTTCTTCGGCTGCCACTGGTTCTGCTGGTCGCCGTGGCCCAGCTTGCCGTATTCTCCATCGCCCCAGCTCCAGACACTGCCGTGCGCGGCGAGGGCCAGGCTGTGCACATCTCCAGCCGACACGCTCACGGCGCGCTCGCCGCCCAGAAGGGGGAGGCGGGTCGGCGTGTTGAGCCGCGTCACGCCTTCGCCGTGACCGAGGAGCCCTGGCCTCCAGTCCTCAGCCTTTCCGCACGACGACAGCCGCCCCTCGCCGTCGATGAAGACGCTGTGCGTATTGCCTGCCGCCGCCCTCGCCGGCGGGTTGGACTCGCACAGCAATGCGGAGTAGCACAGCCACCGCACGGCGCAGCCCTCGCCCTCTGGCTGCGCCGGCAGCTCGAAGCCGCGCTCTTGCGCCCACAAGCGGATGGCCTCCACTGCGAGAGAGGCGTGAAAGAGGTGGGAGACGGCCGCGACGCGAGCGGTGTCGAGGGGGCTGTCGCAGCAAGAGAAGGCGCGCACGAGGAGCTCCCTGGGGAGGTCGAGCAAGCGGACGGGCGGCAGCGTGTCTGGCGATGGAGCGGTTGTGGCGGAGGCGAGGCGGCGCGAGCGGCGGCGGCGGCGGCGGCGGCGGCGGCGGCGCGCGCGGCGCGCGCGACGGAGGGGCGGAGCAGCGACCGCTGGCGCGGTCGCTGCTCCGTCTGTGACAGACGCGCGCTCTGCCGCAGAGCGCGCGCGTCAGGGCAAGGGGCATGCGTGGCGGCGCGGGACGCGCGGCGGCGGCGGCGAGCAGCCGAGCGCTCCGTGAGCGGTGAGGCGGCCGGGCGTGGGCGCGGCGGGTGACGGGTCAAGGGAGCAGCCCACACCCGGCGTCGCTTTTTGAGCGACGCCTGTGGTACGCCTGCGCAGGGGCCGCAGGGCGGTCAGTTGTGGGGCGAGGCGGTGCCGGCCGCGGGCCGGGTGCAAGGCGCCGGCCTCGGCGCCGCCTCGGCGCGCCGCACGGGCGCGGCGAGCCTCTGAGCGCGAGCCGAAGGTTTGCTGCGGTAGGTGGGAGGGAGGCAGGTCGGAGGTGGTGGGGTGGTTTGACTTTGCCGCAGAGGCCGTCCCTAGCTGTGAACAGCAAAACGGGACAGTAAAGAAATCATCGAATTTCCGCACCCTGCCTCGCCATCAGTTTTTCCGACGGCCCCGCTCCGCGCTTCCACTTGATGAGTCGCCTCCGCGGAGTGTCATTTCCGCCGCCTCCGCATCTGCCGCGCCCGGGACAGGCCTCGGCCGACAAAGACGCACCGGCCGACAAAAAAAACCGCGTCTTCCAGGCAGTGGACATGACCGAGGATCCCGCAAATCACGGCGATCCGCTCATCCCCGACGAGGTCAAGAGGGCGGCTGACCGAGGTGACGAGTCGGTGGTGCTGGCGTGGATTGCGGCCAGCGGGAGGGTCAACGCGTCCTACGTGAACGGGGACGGTTTGGGCGGCTTCACGCTCCTGATGGCCGCTGCCTCTAACGGCCAGGAGAGCCTGATTGATACGCTCCTGCGCTGTGGTGCGGTGGTCGACCAGCGCCTGCCGGGTGTGGGCCTCACTGCACTGTGCTTCGCAGCAGCCAGAGACGACTTTGCCATCATGCGCCGCCTGCTTGAGGCGGGAGCAAGCATGAAGATTGCGTCGGAGACGCTCAAGCTTTGCTCCATCCTGCCAGATGGCAAGCTTCGGCGCACCGACCCGCTCGCGGAGCTTGGGGCCTCTCTCTGCGTCGACCCGCCTCCCCACCCGCCGACCCCGCCGCTGCCGCCGCCACCCCCGGAAGTTTCGCCCCTAACGGCGGCGCTGCGCCCGCTGCCTCCGGACGCAGCAGAGGCACCTCTGGCGACGCGGGCGGAGGCAGTGGAGTGGCGGGCGGAGCAGGCGATGCAGCAGCAGGCGAAGCAGGCGCACACGTGGCGCGAGGAGGCGAACGCGCGCGAGAGGCTGAGTGCGTGGGCTGCTGCATCGGCGGCGCAGATGGCGCAGCTGCAGCAGTCCCACGCGCAGCTCGAGCAAGCAAACACGCTGCTGCAACGCGCGCTCTCGGAGGCGAGGGCGCGCGAGGAGGCGGCGAGAATGGAGGCGGCGGCGGCGAAGGAGTGGTGGCAGCAGGCGAGGGTCTGCGTCGACCAGGTGAGGTCGGAGGCATATGACATTCAATTAATACTATGTTTACATTGCATCATGTCGAGCAGGTGAGGTCGGAGGCAGCGGCGGCGGGGGCTCAGGCGGCGGCCCGTGAGGAGGCGGCGAGGGCGCGCGAGGAGTCGGCGAGGGTGGAGGCAGCGGCGGTCAGGCAGGAGGCGAGGGATCGCGTGGAGAAGGTGCGGACGGAGGCGGCAGCGGCAAGGCAGGAGGCGGCTGCCCGCGAAGAGGCGCTCGTCCGGCGGCTCACCGCCCTCGAGGCGCGGCAGCAGTCCCCTCCGCCCGAGGCGCGTGCACGGGGGCCGCGTCCTCTCGGCCGAGTTCCTCTGCCTTGATTCTCCGCGGCCTTTTGACCACAGGCGCGGCAGGACCCCCCGCCCGAGCCGTGGCACGTCCCTCCCGAGGACACGCCCGAGGTGGGGCAAGGCCCGCTTCCCCCGTCGCCCTCCGACAGCGGCGTCGACCTCGCGCACAACAGTCAGGCCGAGTGGACGGGTCCGTCGCTCAAGACACAGGTGGGCCGCATCCGCGAGCGCCTCGGGCTCGCGGCGGAAACGTCGCTCGTCCGCGTGGTGGCGGTGGCGAACGAGAGGGAGGGGCTCGCCGCAAAGGGCGGGCTGGTGCCGCAGGTCGAGCGGCTGATGGGGCGGCTCTTTGGGGAGGGGGCGGCGGCATGAGCGAGAAAAGAATGCGGCCTCATGGTGGCTGCGAGCCAGCCGTACGTGTTACAGTACGAACACGCATGATGTTGAGAGATGAGAGAGGCCGCGTCTGGAGACGAGGAGTACGGTCAATATTTACTCCTGTTGAGTGTTGTCTCTGAGAGGCGGACAGGAGTCTGCGGGATCCGGGATCTGTTTGTGTGTTTCGAGTTTGAGGGTGGTGCGAAAATTTGTTGTCGCGGCTTGCGCGCGAACCCTCTCTCGCTCCGAAGTCCGACGCGACGTAGGTCGTATAGCTCCTCGCGCTCCTCGTCTTCCCAAGAGATACGGCTCTAGCTTATAGCTAAGCCCTGGCGCCGCGAACCGCACGCGCACCGATGCCTTCACCCCAAACGCCAAACCCATACCGTACTATTTAGTCCGTTACTACAGCTCATACTGTATGACAGGGAGCTCTATGACTACGTCGACGCATACTCGAGAGTACGGGGACGGCTCACGAGCTGCCTGAGCTGTGTGTGACTCGTGTGACTGTGATGAGCACACTCCACACAGCCGTGCTGCCGTGCTCGATCGAATTCGTCGTGCTGTCACTGTGGTCTGTGCTGTCCTGCGTACTATGTAGTGTGCACAACAAGACCAAACGACTAACGACAGTGAATTAGCAGCCAGTCAGATCACAGGTCCTCCTTTGCGGGCCGCAATCGGCCATGGAGAAAGTCTCGCACAAACTCCCGCAGCGCTGCCTCGTTGAGCTGGCCTCCCATGGCATACTTCTCGTTGCCGGCAGGGTTGTGCAGCGCCGCGGTGGGCGCGTCCTGGGCGCGCACCCCAAAGAATCGACGCAGCAACATCGCATGCTCGCTCGCGTCCGTCAGGACGAAACCGAGCGCCGCGCCGTACTGCTCGTGCAGCGCAGGCAGCCAGCTAGGCAGCAAGCCCGCCCATAGCTTGGGCCGCCCGTCGAGCACCAGGTGCAGCTTCGGCCTGGCGTCTGCTATGACGGCTGGCATCCCGGCCGGGCTCATCTGGAGCAGAGGGCCGATGGCGGTGCCCGCCGGCCACTCGACGAGCGAGTACTCGGCATCGACGCTCTCGCGGTGCGGGAGAGCGTACTGATACACGAAACCGTCGCCCACCTCGAACACGATCCACGTGTGCCTCCGTCCTTGGGCGGCGGGCGGCGGCGGCACCGTGACGGCAGCTGGAGGAGAGGGTGGGGGACGCCTCGCCATCCAGGCCTTGGCTCCGGCGATCGTGCTGGCGGCCGTGCTCGACTGCTCCAGCAAGCCGCGCTCGCGCCAGGCGTCCTCGCTCATCGGCATGCACCTTGGCTCGGAAGGTGCCGGGGCGCGCCACCAATTGATCAGCAACACGAGCCGACGGCGCTCGGTGGCCGTCTGCCTCGCCAGCGGTCCGACGACGCCGTGGTTGAGGTCGCCACGGAAGATGAGGTGCCGGTTGAGGTGTGGGTGCGCCAGGAGGCCGTGCGGCGCGAGGCGCGGCTCCATCTCGTTAGCGCCGTGGCCGATCGTCTGGTTGAGGACGAGCGTTGGCGCGCCGCTCATGCCGAGGTAGGTGACGGACGAGACCTCTGGATTTCGGATCTCGTCGCGCAACTTCAGGTGCGACTCGTCCTTGTCAAAGTGGAACCGGAACCCGCGGTCCGCCTCGTCGCCGTCCTCCCCGCGAAGCCACCATTCACCGCCGATCACCGGCGTCGGCGCGTCGCCAAAGGCGAGGTAGTGCAACTGGTGGGCGGCTGCCTCGAGCGCGTTGAGTGGAGCACGCCGCGACCCGTCCGCCTCATACAGTGGCATCCAAAAGCTGGATTCTGTCTCGATCTTTTTGCTCCCGCCTGGATGATCAGGGCGCAGGAGTCTCTCCGCGACCGACTCCACAGCATCAAAGACGGCCGGCATCAGCGCGTCGTCGTGCACCGCTGCGAAGTGGTCGATGAGGCCCGCTGCCTGCCAGCTGGCCGCATGATCGACCTCCGCGAATTGCAGGCCATACATGAGAGGCAAGAAGTGGACAGCGGCACTCCAGCGCCGCATCTCAAAAAGCAGAGAAGGGGAGGGAGAGAGCGACGCGGCGAGCGCAGGCGGCGAGCGTGCTCGTGTCCTGGTGTGGCGTCTTGTTCACTCCCCTAAAAGCTACCTTTGTGCCCCCTTAGGGGCACCCCTCCTGCGCTGCGCGTATGGTCACCCCTCCCTTCCGCCCTGTTGTTTTGGATGCCCCGCTCCGAGAAAGCGTGTCTCGCAGCTGCGAGAAAAGACCACGTCAGTGCCGGTCGCCGCAGCTCCGCATCCACCACGCAGAGCTCGATACCTCCGCGGCCACGATGTCGCATCGGCCGACGACGACATGCGCAACTAGGCCCGTCTGAGAGCTCACGAGCAGCGCGGGGGAGATGACGGTGGTGGGTGGGCCGCTCAGGATCGGCCGGCGTCGGTAGCTCCAACCAGTATCATGCGTGTCCTCACCGACCGCCGTCTCTCCTCTGCCTCCGTGCTGCGCTCGTTCACGCCTAGCCTGTGACCCTGCCTGTATGTGTTAACAAACCCGCCTAAAAATGTGAGACTTTCTCTCACACCCCCAGCATCACATTCACAGCACGACCCAACGTACCACTTCCGACTAGTTGCAAAAATACGGGTGGTGTGGAAATGACCACTTTTGATGTTTTTTTGTCCGTGTTGCTCCCAGCGCCCTCGCCCGCGCTCCCTGAGGCCATGGGCATGGCTGGTGCTACTAGTATGGGGGGCTACCTGGCTACCGCGAGAGCGACCCAACTCGTCGACATCGTCCGATGATGGTGCCTCAAAGTCAGCCTCCGGAGGCTATCGTCGCGTCGAGCCGGCGGTGGCCGTGACATGTGGTTCCACCACCCCTCGCAGGCTTTGCCTCTGACCGCCACCGTTCCCAGGCTGTCTAATGGGATGGAAAGGAAGGCTGGGCGAGCGTATAGAAGCGTGCTCGACCTTGTCGTGGCAACCTGCACGGCAGCGCTGGCAGGCGCGATGAGCGTCGTGCCACCTGACCCGAGACGGGTCGCAGGCGTCGTACCGAGCGCGTCGAGACCGCGTCCTGATGCGCTCTGCACGGGTGAGTCACGTCGGCGTCAAAGGAGCGACGTGTGACCTGTCAGAGCTTGATCTCCGATCTCAGCGGCGTCGAGTCGCCTTCGGCGGCGACAGCTAGGATGCATCTCCTCCGTCGTTTTTCGCGCTACGGCCCTGAGAAGCTGGCGCCGCACGCAGGCGGACCTTGTGTATGCGGCGAACGCTTAAAAAATGGGTGATTTTCAGTGGGTTGCGGGCATTAAGAAAACAGGATTGCGCGGCACGCCGCCGTTTCTAAGCCTTTCCACAGCCCTCATCCACCCCACGCCGTGGTTTCTTAGCTCCGGCCGGGGCACTCAAGCCAGAGCGCCGGCCCGAAGGATTTTTAGGTAAGAGGTAAGCTGCGGTCCGCGAGGGCGATGCCAGAGTCTGCCGCCGAGTCGGCTCTCTGTCTGGATGACGGGAAGACGCACACACGCCTCCATTCACTCCATCCACTCAGAACACCGCAGGCTTGGAAAGTGACAAGTGCGCGCGCCGCAGGCGAAGAGAATTTTGAGCTGGGCCTCCCGTTCACACTCGGTGTCTGGCCTTTTCTCGGGGCCGCGCCTGCGGCGCGCCGTGGTTTCTTAGATTTTTGCGGAAATCGCTCGGCGTGGTTTCTTAATGGTACGTTTTCTTAATGCCCGCAACCCACTGTACCTGTAAGGTCACTTTTTTTTGAGTAGGTAGTGCCGAGCTGCGACGTGCGAGCTGGCCGCGTGACAGCGATTCTGGTAGTTTTTCTTTTTGGCGGTTTTTGCACCACAGACTTTTTGCAACTTCCAACTAGCCTTCCGCATCCAAGTTCACAACAAATATAGCCGCGCGTTATTAGGTTAACTTAACTCTCGATGCACACATATGGTCCCATCGCTCTCAGACCATGCGCATGCCAAGGGTGTTTTTTCTCACTTCAATGAGAGCCCTGAGTCGATCGTCTGCCATCTACACATCAAACCGAACAGGAACACGCGAAGTTACTAATTGGCGCGAATTTGTTGAAATTTCAACAAATACGCGAGAGCGCACAGAACGTCACCTGCATGGCACCCCATGGAGCTGTGGCTCTGCATGTGTTGAGGCCACCCATAGTGCTGCCTGCCCTAGCCGCTGATTGACCAGCAGATGCGCGCATCTCTCACCCAAACATGATAGCACCGCTCGGCACGTCGTCGCCACCACGACCCGCACGGGGACCGGGCGCGCGGCCGTGCACCGCTCCACCCACGCTCCAGCAACCGCCCAGCTTCGTCGCTGAATCAGTCGAGATCGACAACGCGCTGCGAGCGCCGCGCGCGAGCTCGCACGGCCGAGTTCTTTGCTCCCGCGCTCGCTCCAGCCCCATTCACACGACTCGCGCCGCGCGCCCTGGGAGCGCGCCCCACCCCACCTCACCCCTCGCGAGCCCCGCAGAGCCAGCTCGAACGACCGCATGCCAAGACTGGCAGCCGCGGGCCCTGCCTCTCGCGTCACTCAGCTGTAGATGCGCACTGCGCGCTCGATCACCTCCTGCGGCGGCATAGGGGGGGGGGGGGGGCTCTGTCGCCTGGGGAGCAGCGGGCCAGCGAGCGAGCCACCCCACCTCGCACAGCGGGCACACGTCCTTCCGCACCCCTCTGTCCGTCTCCATGTTCATCAGGGCCTCCGCGCACTCTCCGCAAAAGGCGAGGTGGCCGCATGGCTTGTCCGCATTGCGAGGCGGGATCAGTGCCTAAACCGGGAGTGGCAGAGTGTGTGCGCGAACTCTCGGCGGCAGCGCGACGTCTCTCGGCCGGCTGGTGCGTGGGTCTTCGGCTTGTTCAGGCAGACGATGCACTCGTCTCCCTCCGAGATGGGGGGCCGCTCGACGCCGTCGCCGTGCTGCTGCAGCGCCTGGTGCAGGTTCGCCTCCGCCTGCCGCCGCCGTCGCTCGGCAATCGTCCGCCATTCCTCGGCGGCTGCACGCTCGGCAACCTCCTCCCGGAGGGCAGCGCGCAGCGTCTCGATCGTCTCCCTATGTTGACAATGGGCGTGGCCCCGTGGGTGCGCGGAGAAGCCGCGCCTCTTCTCTCTTTCTCTCTTGCAAAAGCTTGCGCCTCATCTCCTCCACATTGCTCCGCACCTCCGCCGCCGCAATCGTCTCAATCCGAATGCGCTCCTTCTCGCGCTTCTCCTCCTCCTTGCGTGCCGCCGTGGCCGCCTTGGCCGCCGCCTTCTCGTCCGCCCTCCGCTGCTTCTCCTCCTCGTCCGCCCGCCGCTTCGCCTCCAGCGCCGCCAGCTGCGCCGCCTGCTGCCTCTCTCGCTTCTGTGCAGCAACATCGTCCTCTCTCCTCGCCCGCTCGGCGCGCCGCGCCTCCTCCTCCGCGGAGCGGTACGCCCGGTGCACTTCCTCCGCCTGCCGCGCACGCTCTTCCGCCGCCGCCGCCCGCGCCTCTGCCGCTGACCGCGTCTCCGCCTCGGCCTTCGCCTCTGCCGTCGCGCGCGCCGCCACTGCTAGCGCCTCCGCGGCTGCCGCCGTCGCCCGCGCCTCCGCGTGATCCCGCGCCTCGGCTAGCTGCCGCCGCAGCGCCTCCGCCTCCGCCTCGAGCTCCGCCACCCTCGCCCGCGGCGGCTCCACGCTACTTGTGCTCGACCCCGAGGCGGAGTCGAGCTCGTCCATATCGTCCACGATAGGCTCCAGGTTCTCCGGCTTTATCCCCACCGTCGGTTTCCCCCCGTCAGGTTTGACGTGGTAGCGCCCCTTGCTCTCGTCAAACCCGTCGGTTGTCACGCGCGCCGCCACCCCATTCAGCTCGGGCTTGGTGGCGAGGCCGGAGATACGCACCCGCTGGCCAGGCAGGTACCGCGGTTTCTTTGGCTGCGTCGCCGCCCCGCGTGGCTGCTGCGATGAGCTCTCTTTCTTGCTCTCTTTGCCGCCAAACGTGACGCTCTCGTCGCTGTCGGAAGAGCCGCTGTTATCGACGAGGGCAGGTAGAGACTCGTCGCCGCTGCTGTCGTCGGAGGACTCGGAGATGCGAGCCATGTCTGTCTGCGATGGGCGCGGCCGAGCTAACCCGGGCCGGCGCTGCAAGAGAGGAGTTGGGGGAAGGATAAAAAGAAAGTTGAAGTCCGCCGCCGAAAATCGCTGCGGCCCCGCATTGGTGGCTCGCCGGAACTACACATGGCATCGGCCGCCGCGATGCTCAGGCTAATCGAGGCGCAGTACACGTGCGACGCCGAGCTCGAGCTCGATGCGGTCGCCGAGCTCGCCGCGCTCGCTCCTGCCGGCTCGCGCGAGCAGCACATGTACGCGTCGCACCTCGCCAAGATCCGAGCCTGGGCGGAGCGGCGGTGCGAGGCGGCGGAGCGGCAGCTTGCGGAGGATGCCACACGTCCCGCCGACGCCCCCGCGGCGGCGGCTGCCGCGGCTGCGCCGCCCGCCGCCGACGCACCCACCGCCGACGCTGCGGCGGACCGGACGCAGTGGTCGCTGCCGCTGCCTCCGCGCAAGCATCCGAGAACCTCCTCCTCCGCCGCCGTCGCCGCCGCCAGCCAGCCGAGCCCGAGCCAGGGGGCGGCGAGCCAGTCGCCGCAGGACAGCGCCTTTGAGGAGGAGTACCGGTGTACCGTCTGCCTCGACCTCATGTACGAGCCGTCGACCACCGCCTGTGGGCACACCTTCTGCCGGCCGTGCCTGCTGCGAGCCCTGTCGAACACGACGCGCTGCCCGCTCTGCCGGACAGACCTCGGCGTCGCCGTCCCCTGCGTCAACACCTCGATGTGGAACGCGCTGCAGGCTCGGATGCCGGAGCGGTGCGCCGCGCGGAAGAAGCAGTTTCGCCAGGAGGACGTCAGGCGCGCGGCGCCGGGCGGCGGCGGCGGCGAGACGAGCCGGCTCGAGGAGGTCGCGGCGATCCGCGCCATGCTGTACAGCCACCGCGATCGGCTGACGCGCGGCAGCGGCTCGCTAAACTACTTTGCGCTGGTCGAGAATGAGTTTGCGAGCGGCTCTGGCTTCTACCGCTGCCGCTGCCCCGAGCGGTTCGTGTGCCTGCGCTTCCCCATCCGCAACCCCGCCTCGCGCCACCGCGGCCGCATCGCCGTGGGCTGCCCGCTGGCGGCGGACAGCGGCTGCGGGTATTACATGCTGGTGGAGTGACGGAGAGTTGTGCGGTTTTGGTAACGGTTTTCGCCCGCAGGCGCGTTTCATATCCCGAAGGGTGGGTGGCGCCGCACCTATCGGACCTTTTAGCTGCTAGGCCCAGTGTTCCACAAACATGCGTGTGTGTTATGTGTACCGTTTCGTACCTGCTACCACTACCTGGGGTGCTGCTTGCAGCTTTCCTGGGCTGTGGCCTGTGCACACATTACCAAACCTAAGTGCTAAGACTGCGGCTCGTCGCCCAATATCGGCTCGGTCCCGCTACAACATGCAGATGTACGGCCCTTAGGGCGTCCTAGACCTGCGGCGTGCAGTAGACGCACGTGTCGAGCGGCAGCGGGGCCGGTGCTTCGACGTCGCCAGCGGCGGCGCCCTCGCGATCCACCTTGGTCTTGTAGCCTGCCGCCTCGGCGCGCTTCCGCTCTTCTGCCGCTCGCTTCGCCATCTGAGCTTCCTTCGCTGGTCTGGCCGCCTCACGCCGAGCCTCTTGGGCCAGCAAGATCTCGAGCTTCTCCTGCGCAACCCGCTCCTCCTGGAGCTGCTTGGTACGCAGCGCGGCGACCTTCTTCTTCTCGATGCACTCGCCTGTTCATGGAGATATGTTTGGTGAGTTTGAAACCGAAACATCGTGACCGCGCCAGCAGCAGCAGCGCTTGAGAGCTTCGCTTTGGGCGGGATCTCGACGCCGTCGCAATCCGTCTCGGCGATCAGGACCGTGGACGGAAAGACTGCTGCAGCCGACTGGATCGATCCGGGATTGGCTGGAACGCGCACGAGTACCTCGGTGGGCGCGGGCAGGATGAGGCCGGAGGCAGGCAGGGTCGCAATGAACATGGTGTGCAAAAAAAAAATCCGCGGTAAAGCCGCTCACAAGGGCCGTCCTCCGATCCCTCCCTTGGGTTGACTGTTTTCTTTCTTTCTTTACAAGAGCCGAAGATGCGTGGCGCATCTTAATATCTTCTGTCACTGATCGTCCCTGACTAAAAAAACATCTGGGAGATCTGAAAACTGGCTCATTGCCAGACAGGTTGCGTTGAGCCATCGCGCGCCGCTTTGGCAGCCCTCTTCGCCTCCGCGGCAGCGGCCTTCTCTTCCGCCTTCTCTTTGCGGACGCGCGCCTTCTCCTGCGCCGCCCTCGCCTTCTCCTCCTCCTTTTGCTGCCTCAGCTGCAGCGCCGCCGCCTTCTTCTCGTCCTTGGCCGGCTTCGCGCCGCTCGACGAGGCCGCGCCGGCCGTGGGCGGAGCCGGCGCGGCGGCTTTGGCAGCCCTCCGCGCCTCGGCAGCCGCGGCCTTCTCCTGTGCCTTCGCCTCCGCGGCGTCCTTCTTTCGCTGCTTCAGCTGCAGCGCCGCCGCCTTCTTCTCGTCCTTCGTCGTCTTCGCGCCACCTGCCGCTCCTGCCGTCGGCCGAGCCGGCGCGCTTCCGCCTTGAAGGTTCAGCGGACGCACTGTGGCGGCTGGACGCGACTCGGCGGCCGTCTCGCGCGGCTGGGCCAGCGCAAATAGCCACTCTGGCACCGCCTCGCCCGCCTCGAGCGCCTGCTCGATCGCCTCCGTCGCCTCCTCGGGCGTCAAGTCGGGCCTACCAGCCGTGTCCCCCGTGCCCGGAGAATCGCCCACCGCCTCGGCCGCCTCCTCCGCCTCGAAGACGTACAGCGCGAGGCTGCCGGGCATGCTCGGAGGCAGCCCGCCGGGCAGGAGGCCGCGCACGCTGGCGGCGGCGAGGTGCAGCGCCGCCGCGAACTCAGCTGAGCTCAGCTCGTCCTCGGACCGGCTGGCCGCCGTGTCGGAGCCGCGCGCCGACACGCAGAGCCCCCAGATGTGGTCCACGTCCCCCTCGCCCACCGACGCAGACGCAAAGACGGGCGCCGCCGCGGCGCGGCTCACGGTCGCGCAGCCCTTGGCGGCGGAGCTGAAGAGGCCGTCGTACGCCCGCTGCTCCGCCTCGCTGATGGGCGGAAGCTCGACCGCCGCCGGGGCGGTGGCCGCGCCGTAGTCGCCCCCTTCGTCGTCGATGTCGACGTCGAGGTCGTCCCTGTCGTCCCCGTCCTCGCCCTGTTCAGCGATATTCCACAGCGTCTCGGGCACCTCCTCGCCCGCTGCCGTGAGCTCCTCGATCAGTGCAAGCGCCTCCTCTGGCTTCATGTCAGGCGGGACCGAGCCCTCGCCCCCCTCCTTCTCTTCCTCGTGCGAGGACACTGATGCCTGCGAAGCAAACGACGCAGCGCGCGCCATGCGCTGAGCGGCGTCGTGGCGCAACTGCGCCGTCGCCTCGGCCGCCTCGGCCGCCTCGGCCGCCTCCTCCGCCTCGAAGACGTACAGCGCGAGGCTGCCGGGCATGGTCGGAGGCAGCCCGCCGGGCAGGAGGCCGCGCACGTTGGCGGCGGCGAGGTGCAGCGCCGCCGCGAACTCAGCTGAGCTCAGCTCGTCCTCGGACCGGCTGGCCGCCGTGTCGGAGCCGCGCGCCGACACGCAGAGCCCCCAGATGTGGTCCACGTCCCCCTCGCCCACCGACGCAGACGCAAAGACGGGCGCCGCCGCGGCGCGGCTCACGGTCGCGCAGCCCTTGGCGGCGGAGCTGAAGAGGCCGTCGTACGCCCGCTGCTCCGCCTCGCTGATGGGCGGAAGCTCGACCGCCGCCGGGGCGGGCGGGGAGGAAGCCTCGCCATCGCCGCCGCCGCCAGCATTGGCCAGGACTCTGGCAACGACCGCTGCGGCACCCTCCACCGCCTCGGGCTCAGCGCGGCGGTCGACGGCGAGGCCAGAGTCGTCGCTTGCGGCGTCGCTGTCCGCTGGCCCATCGACAGACAGGCCGGAGTCGTCACTGGCGGCGTCCCACAGCTCCCCGCTGTCTCTGCGCCTGCGCGGGCTAAGCCTCTCGTCTCCACTGTCGCGCGAGGCTGCAGCGCGGTCCGCCGCCGGGTCCGCGTCCGCCTCTGCGGGAGGAGGAGGTGGCGGCGGTGGAGGGGGAAGGGTCGTAGGAAACGGAGGACCACCAGGAGGAGGAGGAGGAGGTGGCGGCCGCGGCGGCGGTGAAGCAGCGGAGGCCTTGTTGGTCGTAGGAAACGGAGGACCACCAGGAGGAGGAGGAGGAGGTGGCGGCCGCGGCGGCGGTGCAGCGGAGGCCTTGTTGGTCGTAGGAATCGGAGGACCACCAGGAGGAGGAGGAGGTGGTGGTGGCGGCGGCCGCGGCGGCGGTGAAGCAGCGGGGATCTTGTTGTCCTCAGGGAGCAAATCCTCGTTCCCGGCTGTGGCGCTGCGCGAGCTCAGGAGCACACCATGTTTTGAGCGACGCTGCTGCGATTGCGGCGTCGGCGGGTCCTCCTCCTCGTCGATCGCTTCCAAGGCCGGCGTAGCGGCCTCCCCCGCCGACGACACAGCAAGGGACGCCGCCATCGCGAGGTCCATGTCGCGCTCCTCCTGGTCGTCATCCGAGCGCCGAACGACCGCAGCGCGAGAGTGAAGCCGGGGAGACTGCCGCCCGCGGGGAGATTTGCGGGGAGATTGAGGCCGGGCGGGGGCGGGGTCGGTTGGAGGCGTCTCTGCGGCGCTCGCCGCCGCAGTCAGGTACTGCCGTTGCTGCCTCCACGGCGTAACCTTGCTATCCGTGTTCGGATCCACATCACCGGCGTCGCATTCGCCCCCGACGACGGGGGTATCCTGCTCTCCCCGAACGGCGGGGGTGTCCCGCTCGGCGACCGCCCGCTCGGCGACCGCCCACAGCCGCTCGGGCACCTCCTCGCCCGCCTCGGTCAGGCGCTCAATCTCCTCGATCGCGTCCTCCGGCGTCATGTCCGAGAGCTGCGGCGTCTGAGGCGTGTTGGCCTCAGCCTCGATGTCGGCCAGCGCAACCCCGTACAGAGGGTCCCCGCCTCCGACCGGCTTGAGGTCGTACAGACCCTTGGACGTGACGTACTGGACGGTGCATCTCCGCCCGTACGCAAGGACGGTGTCGCCAGACTCCGGCGGAGGGCTTGCTTGGGCCGCAGCAGGCGGCGGCGGCGGCGGCGGAGGCGGTGGAGGGGGTGGAGGGGGAGGAGGGGTGCTTCTGGGGACCTCGATGTCGGCCAGCGCAACCCCGTACAGAGGGTCCCCGCCTCCGACCGGCTTGAGGTCGTACAGACCCTTGGACGTGACGTACTGGACGGTGCATCTCCGCCCGTGCGCAAGGACGGTGTCGCCGGCGACAGGGTCGCTTCCGGCTGGAGCGGCCGCTGGCGAGAGCGGCCCCTGTCCTGCCTGCGACCCGGGTGAGGTCGAAGAGCGCATCGAGGAGGCGCTCCGCCGAGACAGCTCGTCTCTGATCTCGCGCATCGACCGGCGAGAACCGGGAGCGGCCTCGTTGGCGGCGGCGTCGGCAGCGACCATCGCGTTAACGGCGCGCACAGAGGTCCGTGGGGTGAAGCCGCCCATCTCCTCGTCCGGCGGGCCGTCGAATCCCACCCCCCCGGGTCCTCTCGACCTGGCGCGCGTCAGTGTCCTGTCGCCGACGCCGGTGGTTGGCGCGGTCCGCGCAACGCCGGCCGTCGAATCCCGATTCCCGGGCCGCTTGCGCCGCCTCCTCTTGCGGTAGCAGCCGACGCCAAGACATATGAGGAGGAGCACGACCACTATGCCTACGCCAATCGTGGCATAGCCCGCGGGCTCCGCGATGAAGGCTTTTTGCGCTTCAACAACTCGAGGCGGCGACAGCGGAGGCGGCGACAGCGGAGGCGGCGCCAGTGGAGGCGGCGGCGGCGGCGGCGGCGGGCTGGAGGGCGGCGGCGGCAAGGGCGAGGCTGACGGCGGCGGCGGCGAGGGCAAAGGGGATGGCGGTGGCGGTGAGGGCGAAGCGGACGGCGGAGGTGGCGTGGGCGGTGGGCTTGGAGGCGGCGGTGAAGGAGGCGGCGGCGGCGAGGGTGGTGGCGGCACGGGCGGCGGCGGCGAGGGTGGTGGCGGCACGGGCGGCGGCGGCGAGGGCGGTGGCGGCGCGGGTGGTAGCGGTGAGGGCGGCGGCGGCGCGGGTGGCGGCGGTGAGGGCGGCGGCCGCACGGGCGGTGGCGGCGATGGCGGCGGTGATGGCGGCGGTGGAGACGGCGGCGGCGACGGCGGCGACGGCGGCGGCGGCGAGGGTGGGGGCACGGGGGGGGATGGGCACGGGTAGAAGCCATCCGGCAAAGTCTCGTTTGTGTACTGCGATGTTTCGAGGCCGTCGCAGGTTGAATCCCCAGTTTGGCCACAGAAGCGCCACGTTTGATCCGGAAGGATGTCGAAGTACGCGTCACATCGCGACGTGCTCGTGTTGATGAAGTAGCAATCCGGCACTAAGGTGCGACAGGGAATCGGCGGCGGCGGCAAAGGGGAAGGCGGCGGCGGCGGGAACGGGGGCGACGGCGGCGGCGACGGGGGTGGCGGTGAGGGTGGGGGCGGCGAGGGCGGCGGCGGCGAGGGTGGAGGCGGCGGCGGACCCGGAGGAGGCGGGAAGGGTGGTGGCGGCGACGGGGGTGGCGGTGAGGGTGGGGGCGGCGAGGGCGGCGGCGGCGAGGGTGGAGGCGGTGTTGGAGGCGGAGACGGCGGGAAGGGTGGTGGCGGCGACGGGGGTGGCGGTGAGGGTGGGGGCGGCGAGGGCGGCGGCGGCGAGGGTGGAGGCGGTGTTGGAGGCGGAGACGGCGGGAAGGGTGGTGGCGGCGACGGGGGTGGCGGTGAGGGTGGGGGCGGCGAGGGCGGCGGCGGCGAGGGTGGAGGCGGTGGTGGAGGCGGAGACGGCGGCGGCGGCGAGGGCGGCGGCGGCGAGGGCGGCGGCGGCGAGGGCGGCGGCGGTGACGGAGGTGGAGAGGGCGGAGGCGGCGAGGGTGGTGGCGGCGAGGGCGGCGGCGGCGAGGGTGGAGGCGAGGGTGGAGGCGGAGACAGCGGCGGCGGCGAGGGCGGCGGCGGCGAGGGCGGCGGCGGCGAGGGCGGCGGCGGCGAGGGTGGAGGCGAGGGTGGAGGCGGAGACGGCGGCGGCGGCGAGGGCGGCGGCGGCGAGGGCGGCGGCGGCGAGGGCGGCGGCGGTGACGGAGGTGGAGAGGGCGGAGGCGGCGAGGGTGGTGGCGAGGGCGGCGGCGGTGACGGAGGTGGAGAGGGCGGTGAAGAAGGTTGCGGCGGCGAGGATGGCCCGGGCGGGCTGGGAGGGTTTGTCGGAGGCAGTTCGGGCGGCGGCGGTGCGGGCGGCGGCGGCACGGGTGGAGGCGGCGGCAACGACGGTGGCGAAGGGGGTAAGGGCGGTGAGGGCGGCGCCGAGGGCGGCGGCGGGGGTGGCCATGAGGGCGGCGAGGGCGGGGAAGGTGGCGGCGGCAGCGACGGCGACCCGGGTGCGACCAGGACTCGCACCCCCTACACGCATGGGGAGACGGGGAGGGGGGGGAGGGGGGGTGAGAGTGAGCCTAGAGCTCGTGCTTAGAGGCGGGTGTCGCGCTGCCGCCTCCATGCGAGTGGTCGCTGTGTGTTGCGGGTGTGCCTGTTTTCTTAGGCAGGCGAGTGGGGGCGGGGGGCGGTCCCATCTCTCCTGTGTACGGGTGTTGGCTGTCTCTCCTGAGAGACTGCCTGTCTCTGTCCGGGAGGAATCTCGAAGCGAAGAACGGTGTCATGTATGGTGGCTGTGGGTGGTCGCGAACGACCGGTATTTGAGGTATGTGTGCTGTGTGGTCGCGAGCCTGGATTGCCCACGACTCGTCATTGGCAGGTTGGTCCAGGGTTGTGTTGATGCGAAGCCGCAGCCATTGGCCGTCAGACGAAGACGCCTGGGCAACCAGCGGGAGTTCCATCCAGTCGTCATAACCATTCCCGCAGTCTGTCGATATTCGAGACGGCGCCGGGTTTCCAACCTCGGGAAGAGGTTGGAAAGACAGCGCGAGCTCGCCGTTGAGGTAGATCTGGACCTCCTCCTTCCTGTCCCACGAGTCGAAGGCGAAGAAGCGGAGCTCGACGCGTACGGTGCCTGCAGGGGGAGCGAGGGTGCGAATGTGCGAGCCAGAGCGTCGCGTGGAGACTGATATACGACTGCTTGTGTCCTCTCGAGCGCCAGTCTCGGAAACCAAGGACCGGTTCCGCATCTAGTGGGGCGGTGCCGTAGGACGGTGCGGCGCTGAGGTCGAACTCCCTTTCGAGGTACGCGTCCTTGCCGAGAGTTTGCGGTGCGGGGAAAAACCGATACGACGCACCCGGGGGCGCACCCGGGGGCACTGTCCGGTGGCACCCCCCGGGGGCGAGGTTCTGGACGTTGCTCGTCCAGCTCCCCGCGTCAGCGAGAGGAGGCCAGAAGTCACTTGCGACCAGAGTGAAGCCCGGCATGGCCGGTGGCGGCTGTGGCGGAGCGGCCGGCGAGGGCGGCGGCGAGGGCGGAGGTGGCCGTGGCGGCGGCGTCGAGGGGGGCGCGGGGGGCGTGGGGGGCGGCGGCGGCGAGGGAGGCGGCGACGACGGAGGGGGGCTGGGAGGCGGCGGCGAGGGAGGCGGTGACGAGGGAGGCGATGGCGGCCAGGAGGGCGGGAGGTGCGGGGGGGGCGGGGCTGGGGGCGGCGACGGCTCTGGGGTGGATGGGCTTGGCGGTGGAGGAGGCGACGGTTCGGGCGAGGGCGGATTCGGAGACGGCGGCGGCGCCGGCGGCGGCGGGGATGGATCGGGGCTCAGCGGCACTGGCGGCGGCGGCGGAGAGGGCTCGGGCGCTTTCGGCGACGGTGAGGACGGCAGCGGCGGCGGCGGTGGCGACGGCTCTGGGGAGAGTGGGGTTGGCGGCGGCGGTGGCGGCGAGATTGGTGGCGCGTCGGGCGGCGTCGGGGGTGGCGGAGAGGGCGGCGAGGGCGGCGGGGGCAGCGAGGGCGGTGATACTGGCGGCGAGGGCGGCGGCTAGGGCGGCCGCGGCGGCGAGGGCGGCGGAGATGAGGGGCTGGGAGGCGGAGGCGGAAGGGGATCTGGGGACCATGGCGAAGGAGGTGGAGGTGGCTGTGGAGGCTCGGGCGGCAGCGCCGGAGGCGGCGTGGGCGATGGAGGCGCCGAAGGCGAAGTCGGCGGAGGCGATCGCGGCGGAGGTTGCTGCTGTGCCTGGTCTGCGGAGATCGAGTGCGAGGCTAAGAGGAGGCAAGCCAGCGAAATGGAGAGCATGGCGGCCCCAGCAAAGGCAGTCGCAAGCCCGCCGCCGGCGTATCAAGATCGGTGAAAAAAAGATCACGCTTTTGTGATCGAAAGTTCCCGGTTGTTCATGCTGATATAGATTGTTATTGAGATTGGTCCTAAAATCGACTCCTGGGTTGGCTGGCAGCCCCGAGAGCTGCGTCTCGAGCTTCCGGTGCCGTTGCCAGACGACCCCGAGCGTCGGCGCCCAAATAAGGCCTGACGCTCACACCACAAACACTCTAACACTCACACGTCATTTGGGGCCTGGAGCCCTGTTCACGCGCGCGCGAGACGTATTGCTAAAAATCTCTCTCTCCCAAACACTACTACAAAACATCTGCCAGGGAAGTGGAGGGTGGGGCAGACGAGAACGGGACTCGGGCAGCTAGAAGCGCGAGGGCCCGACACACGATCGAATGAGATCCTCTCGGACGGACGTAACAAGTTATTACTTCACGTTTCCACACCTTCCGGTTCCTCTCTCCTCGCCTTGTCGGATAACCTTGATAGCAAGCTATCTCCGATGGGCCGGACCACCCCCAGTCCTTCTCTGCGTTCTTGCACATGGAGTGCAAGATACTCGTTCTGTTGCCGTCCCAAACTGTCACTCCCCATCCTCCCGGCCGGGGCGGGCCCGAGGGGGCGGGGCGCGCGGCGGGACGTGGCGGAGCGGGGGCGGCGGGTGCGGTCCGCGGGATGTCTGTGGGCCCGAGAGTGATGCGTCGTGTGTGTGTCCGCCTTGCGTTTGTTTCGTAACATCGAAGGCAAGCTCAAGAAAAGAAGTCTTCATTTTTTCACACACAACAAACACATCTCTCTCTCTCTCACACAACAAAACAAAAATAAATATCTCCGGCCCACACACCCTCTCCGCCCACCCACCTCTCACCACCCTCGCTCCCGCATGCACCCGAGCAGCTCCTCGCCCGCCCGCCCGCCCGACAGCGCCATCCCGTGCGGCACGGCGCGGACGAGCGCCTCGTCCGTCATCTTGTTCGAGCCGTGCACCGTCGCGACGACGCAGTTCGGGTTGAGCAGCGCGGGCAGCAACGAGAAGCAGCTCCTCCCAATACTTTGTCAAAATAGACCAGCGCGTAGAGCTAAGAAACCACGGCATGGGGTGGGTGAGGGGTGAGGAAAGGCTTAGAAACGGCGGCGTGCCGCGCAATCCTGTTTTCTTAATGCCCGCAACCCACTGTACTCGAGTAGGTATCATGAGATCATGAATGACCGCCTTCAATCTCAATGTCCCACCCCCCTGCGCGAGGGCCTTCTAGGCCCGCGGGTAGTCTCACCCCATCCCAAGGGCCTCCAGGGCTCGCACCTCAACCTCTCACAGACCAGCGCACAGCGCCATGGACTTGGAGCATTGGACGTATTTTGTATTTTTGTTCTCAATTTCTTCTCAAGGGAGAGAGAGATTTTAGAAAACCAACAAGAAATCACGACTCTCACAGTGATTTGGGCTCGGCAGCTTGTCAGCCCTCAGCCGAAGCTGGGGCCGGTCCCGTAGCCGAGAGAGCCCGCGCCGTGAGTTCGACGCGGTCGGGAGGCCTTGCGGAGAGGCCAGCGAGGTGGCGATCGCTGTACTTCATGGTCGTCATTAAGTGACCGGCTGACAAGCCAGAGGTCGATACTCTGGACGACCCATAGGATGCCACGAATGCCTGAAGGAGAGGGAGGCGAGGCCAGAGGCAGGCTCAGCTGCTCTCGGGTGATCCCGCTTTGGTGGCTGAAGGACCCGATGGTCCTGTCACATTCGCGTTCCGAGTCGTGGGGGTAGAAGAATTCGAGTAGAAATCGAGTCAGCACTTCCTTGTAGTACAGCGGACCGCCAGGCTCGCTGGCAGCATCCGCAGGGAGGCAGCATATGAGGCACCAGTTTTCTGGAGAGCTCAACTGCTGCAGCCGCGATGGCAGAGTCGGCCGCGGTTCGAGCGAGCAGCTTTTACTTCTCTCCTTCTCAATGGGGGGGACCGCAAAATGGAGGGCGGGCCCGGCGCCACATGGCGCCGGCCAAACCGTCTAGTACGTGTGAACGCGGGTAGTCTCCCCCCATTCCCAGGGCCTCCAGGGCTCGCACCTCAACCTCTCACAGACCAGCGCACAGCGCCGTAGGACGTATTTTCTTCTCAATAACAAGGCTGTGAAGAGCCCCCACACGTTGGGGGGATCGCAAAATGGTTTACTCAGCGCATGTTGGTGCGCCCAGTGGTGCACCCAGTGTGGAAGCTGTCGTGTGCTGCGGAAGGAAAGACCCACAAGTTGCCGCTTTCGGACACGGCGGCGTATTCGTCGAGGGCGCCTTCTTCTACAAGCCGAGGCCAAAGGCGCGGGACCGATACGAGAACGAGCGAAGGTTCCTCGAGCTCATCTGCTGCAGCTGCGAGAGCGGCGAACCGCTGCGGGCGTTCGTGCCCAACTTTTACGGCGAGGTCGAGCGGGACGGCGCCTGGTTTTTCAAGATGGACGACCTGCTGCACGCATTTTCGCTGCGCGGGCGGCACATTGCCGACTTGAAGATGGGGCTGCGCACCTTTGCCGAGAGCGAGGCGCAGAGCGCGAAGCCGCGCGCGGACCTCTTCGAGCGGATGGAGCGGATGGAGGAGCGGCTAGGCTCGCGCGCACTAGATGCCGAACTGCAGATCCCGGTCTTTTCACCAGCACTCGAGACGACCGCGCTCGGCTCCCTCCTCTCCACAGCGCTCAAGCCGCGTCCACTGCATGTATGTGCCGAGGAAACTCTGCCTCCTTCCAGCACCTTCTCCGACCCTTCTCGGAACCGTCCTGCAGGCTCGCGCGTCCTCACCGATGCAGAGCGGGCCAGCCGGTCGATGACCAAGGTGGGCGCTGCCCTCGCCTCCCCCTTAGTCAGTCTCGCCACCCTCTCCTGCTGCCTCTCTCCTCCCCTGCGGTCTCCCCCACTCCGCTCGTCCGCGCGCCCGCCGCTGCCCCTTCGGTCCTCGCCGTTCCCTCGCTGCCACCTCCCTCGCCACCGCCTCCCTCGCTGCCACCTCCCTCGCCGCCTCCTCCCCCACCGCCTCACCGCCGCCTCACCGCCGCCTCGCCGCCGCCCCTCGCCGCCGCCCCTCGCCGCCGCCTCACCGCCGCCTCACCGCCGCCTCCCTCAACCGCCGCCTCGCCGCGCCACCAGAGGCGCGGTGGACGGAACATACAGCACAACCTCATATAAGGGCAAGACCACATCACGCACCACAACCTCCCTCAAGCACGACCTCAAGCACGACCCACCAATACCACGCGCCACAGGCGCGCTGGATGGCGCTCCGCGACTCGCTCTCGTCGACGAGCGCGCTCGGCTTCCGGATCGACGCGCTGCTCACGCCGCGCGCCCACCTGACGGCGTTTGACTCGCGCCTCTTCCACACGCGCGCGCGCGCAGACGTGCTTGCGGCGCTGCGCAGCTTCTTCCCGCGGCGGGGCGAGTGCGAGGGCGGCAGCCACCCGCGGCAGGTGACACACACACCGTCCGAGACCAGACGCCGACTAGTCCTGCGTTCTCGTAGCTCTCCTCACATACGGAGCTCTGGGTGCTTGCACGCCGCCGCCACCCCTCCGACTCACCTCGGCCCACCTCGGCCCACCTCGGCCCACCTCGGCTCACCTCGGCCCATCTCGGCTCACCTCGGCTCACCTCGGCTCACCTCGGCTCACCTCGGCTCACCTCGGCTCACCTCGGCTCACCTCGGCCCCTCTCGCCGCCTCTCGCCTCCTCTCGCCTCCTCTCGCCTCTTCCTTGCCTCTTCCCTAACCAGAGGGCCACACCAGATCTTCTGACGTCAGCACGAGGCCCGTCTCCCCTCACGGTCGCGTTTGCACGGCGCAGGCCGCCGCCGCCCTGCTCGCTCGGGTGCGAGAGCTGCGCGGCGCGCTGACTCGCTCGGCCGTCTTTTCGCGGCACGGTGACGTCCCCCCCCCCCCCCCTCTCCCCCACTCGAGCTGATCGGGACCACCCTCCTCCTAGCTCACCCCCCCCCGCCCCCTTCTCCCTCACTCGAGCTGATCGGGACCACCCTCCTCCTAGCTCACCCCCCCCCTTCTCCCCCCACTAGAGCTGATCGGGACCACCCTCCTCCTCGTTGCCGACGAGACGTGCCGCGCCGGCGCGTGGATGATCGACTTTGGCGAGATTGCGCCGAGATGCCGCCGAGATGCCGCCGAGATGCCGCCGAGATCGTCCGCCCCTCCCGCCGCCCGCCCCTCGGTGAAGCGCCTCGCTCGTCCGACCGCTGGCTAACCTGGATTCAATGGCGGGCCAGGCGTGACGCGCGAGGCTCCGGCGCCGCTGCAGCACGACGTGCCGTGGGTGCCTGGGAACCGCGAGGACGGGTGCTTGCGACACCTCTGCGACACCTCCGCGACACCTCCGCGACACCTCCGAGACACCTCTCAGACACCTCCCAGGCACCTCCCAGACACGTCCGAGGCACCTCGTGCTCCGCTGCTCGCCATCCCTCGCGCACCTCCCATCACCTCTTCTCCAAGGCCCTTCTCTTCTCTTCTCTTCTCTTCTCTTCTCTTCTCTTCTCTTCTCTTCTCTTCTCTTCTCCAAGGGCCGCACGCCCCTGTGCCTCCGCGCGCACCGCCGCCTCCTGACGCGCCCGCAAGGCGTGCGCCTGACGCGTCCACGACATGTCCACGACGCGTCCACGACACGCCAACGACGCGTCCACGACACGCCAACGACGCGTCCACGACACGTCCACGACGCGTCCACGACATGTCCACGACATGTCCACGACATGTCCCTCAGGTACTTGCTCGGGCTGGCGAGCCTCACCGAGATGCTGCAGGAGCTGGTGGCGGCCGACGAGTGGGACTGAGAGGTGCGCACTCACAGACCAAGGAAGGTCCTGCATCACTTCACCTCCCCTGGCCGAGCTGCGGCTCGTCAGTGTCTGGTACGATCTCAGCAGTGCTCTCCGTCCTCACCCGTCACCCACACGCACTCGCGCGGCCAACCCGCGCGCACCCCGCCTTGCGTGTGGCATGCCGTGGGGCGCCCGCCTGGCTCACGGGGTGTGGAGAGGCGAGGTACTGTCCACCATTTACTCCACCACTCTGCGTGCGCGTTGAGACATTACCTCCCCCCCCTCCCCCCCCCTCCCTTCACCCTCCCAGGCCCGCGCTGCGGCGTCGCGGCAGCCCCGACTAGTGGTAGACGTCGACACTTCGATCATTCTTCGGGTTATAGTTAGCGGTTAGGGCAGGAGGCCACCGCGCCAGCAGCGGGTGCGGCGGATGAGCGCCACGGCGCGACGGGGTACTAGCGAGCGCTCTCTCCGGGGCCGCGTCCCGTGCATCTTGCATGTCTTGTACACGTTGTGACACGCGATTCGGTGTGCATGGAAAATTTTGCTCACGGAGGCGTGGTAACGAGGGTAAGTAACAGGTAAGGTAAGCGGTACTCTTCCTTCACATCCTTCGCGTCAGTCTCGCGGAGTGCGGAGACGTGGTCGTGCCGCTGTAGGGAAACCAGGGTCCGCGTCCGGGGGCTGGCTCGGCTGTGTCCTGACTCCTGTGAGAGAGTTCTTACTTGATCTCTTGCATTCCTTTCCTGACGATCGTTCATCGTATCCGAGAAAATATCTCACTTCTCAGAAATTCTTCTGTCCCGTTTATATATATATAAAGAAAGAAAGTATAATAAAAAGGGAGCGGACGTAAGTAACCACCGTATGACGGGAGTATAATTGTGTAAAATGCTCCCGCGGCGTTTGACATTTTTTTTACCTCTGTAGATACACGCCGCCACAGACAGGGGTTCCAGCTTGCTGAAATGCGAAAATCACGGTCGCGTCCAAAAAGTCGGGCATTTTCTTTCAGTGTGCATTTTCGGAGGACATACGTGTGGACATGTGGAGTAAGGGGTCGATCATATTCGTATATGTATATTCTGTGGGCCCATCCCTCGGCAGCCGTCTACCGTCTTGCAGAAATATGTCGTGAGCTTGGAGTTGGACCTTAGTAATGCAGAAGCGTGTACACCCGTGAGACTTCGCTTAGGATTGCACACTTGCACAGAAGTTGGGAGGCTCCAAAAATGCTACTAACCCCCTAGTCGGCAAGCCTTGTCGGCAATGCTTGATCGGTGTCGTGTCCTGTTGGGTGCGCACTTGGAGCACTTGGAGTGCGCTCGTCGAGCAGTAATGATCAAATCTGGGTTGATAACATAAATACAAACATACCGGTACACACAGACAGGCGTACAGACAGCGGGGCGGTGTTCAGTCTGCAGAACGGCTGTCTGTGTCGATCGAACCTCACAAGTGTCGCCGAACACGGCTCGCTCGTGCAGAGAACGCCTCATGTGCTGATTCCAATCGCAACAGCCTCACGGGTCGTGACAGAATTCCCAAGACGTGCAGCAATGCCGCTCAAGAGCGGTATGGCGAGGTCGCTTGCGCCACAGCGAGCACGCAAGCTGCGCTGGCACCGCCCGGTCGACCTGGACCACTGCCGACTGTACCATGCGCCATTGAGGTGCTTTCTTCAGCGAGTGCAAGACAACCGCCTTGGCGTAGGCGCCGGAACGATTCGAAGACGCCCGCAGCCGCGCATGCGGATGCTCAGAGAGCGTGGCATGCACGCTCGTCAAGCCGCTGGAGCGAAACAGACGGTACGTCATGAACGCAAAGTGCAGATCATCAAAGAGCCGTGGAAACGGCGCGGAAGGGAATCGGCGCCTGTAGCTTGCCGCGTCGGTTGGAACTGTCAACACCGCCCACTCCTCGTCATGACGTCTATCGATGTCGCGGAGCAGTGCAGCTGACACAGAGCGCGAGTAGGCGACGAATGGCCCTTTGGCGTATGGGAATGGGCCCACAAGCAACGGGTTGAGACATTCTCGCTGGTCCGCTGTCAGCGAAGTACCACTCGCATTTGATGCCGCCGCTTGCCTCGCCTGCAAGAATCGAGAGGCCGAGAAGGAGAAGCACGCGGGCGTGCGTGACGCTGGGTCCCACATGCACCACTCGCCCCATGCGCCGAAGATGACGCGAGGTCGTGCAACGCGCTGCAGGCGAAATGCGATTGCCTCTGCGTCGAAGAATGCGTCGTCGTCGGCCCGCGCCACGAATGGCACTGGCTGCGCGAGCGCGTGGCGTAAGAAGGCACACGTCAGAAGAAACGGGCCAACAATTGCGTCATCGCGACGCACCGGAAGAATGAGCACGTCTGGAAGGGCACTGTCACTGCTGGCGTTGACGGCCATGACGAACTGCACCCGTGCCCAATAGGCACGTGCTGTGTGTGCTGCTGAGGCGACACGGAAGTAATTTCGACGCCTCAGGGCCGCGGGCGAAGCAAAGCTGATCACGCCGACGTAGAGCACGGCCGTGGGTGGCGACGGCAGCAGAGGCGTCATCTTCGCAAGGAGTGCTCAAGAGGGCCGCACCTACTCGCAGCGCACGCAGCTTGAGGCCCGGCACCAAGGACACCGCAGCACGCCCGTCTCGCCCACGTTGTTTTGGATCTGCGAGGACACAGGCGGCGGCGCGCGAGCGTCAGAAGCATAAAATGGGACGAGCATGGCGCGGGCTCGTTTTGGGGGTCGCGGGGGCACAGTAGGCACGGAGGCGACCCGCGGCCGCGCGCTCAGCAGCGCTCAGACCGGCAATCCGATTGTGCCAGAATCTCGAATCCTCGGAGCGAGCCGCTCGCGCGGCGGTCGCAGCACGGCGTGCAGCCGGCACGGGCTCGCTGCAGTGGTGGTTGTGGGGCGAGGCGAGAGGGGCCCGCGCGGGCGCAGCTCTCATCTCGCGCTGCGTCGCGCCGGGCGAGGGGCGAGGCGAGAGGCAATCATGGCACAAGGGACCTGCAATCTCTTCTGGGAGGGCACAAAACTGGAATCTCGGCGTTTTCGTGTTGGCTACAGAGCGTTCCGCATTACGTTTATGTAGCTCTTTCGAACATACCCGAGGGTGAACTGCTGACAGGGTTTGCGATGAGGAGCGATCCGCGAACGTGCATTCGGGTGATCAGACCGCCGAACGAAGCGCAAGCGCTTGGAGCAAGAGAGCTGCGACGTATCGGTCTCAGACTACTCACTCGCGGGCCGATTTTCTGGCCTAGCGAGGCCGTTGCGGGGCACCCGGCGGCTCGGTTCGCTCCTCATCAGCGCAAACTCGGTCGAGCAGAAAGCAAACAAGGTGTGTGAGTAAATAAAGGCGGCGCGGCACGGTAGGGGTCGGCGGTAATAAATAAGGTGGCGCGGCGGCAACAGACGGCAGGCAGGACATTGGATGGCGGTCAAGCTGCGTCGTGGTGCCCGGTGGGGCGACCAGCGCCGCGCCGAGAAAGCGCGGCGTGGGTCGCCGATCGCGGTGGCGAGAGCAAAGCAGATTGTTTTGTATTTTTCTAAGGGAAAAAGGGACAGCCCTGGCCTGAGTGTGCTGCGCGTGCGTGCACCGAAAAAGAAAGAAATAAAACAGACAACCCAAGGGAGGGATGGGAGGACGGCACGCCGCCACCACACAGGGATTTTAAGGAGAGGGGTGTGATGCGCTAGCCCTCGCCCACCCTAGGGAGTCTGCCTCTTCCTATCTCTCTTCGCAGTCCCTCGCCAATTCTCTGCGTGCACCGAGGCACGACGTTGGAGCTTCGCTGCGTTCGTTTTTGCCCGGCCGCGCGCAGCCGCTAATCGGGCGTCCTTTGCTCCTCCGCGAGCTATATGGGGGCCAAATAGATTCATTGCAGATGCAGTCGAGCCCTCGTTCGAATGGCGCGCAGCGCCGGCGCGCAGCGCCACGCCGCCAGGCGTCCGCCGGAGGCCCGCCGGAGGCTTTTGCTGCGGCCACATCCCAGCAGTTTTGCCGCGCGCAGCGCCCGCGCCGCAGGCCCGCCGGAGGCTCCCCGGCCGGCACATCCTGGCAGTCTTTCGAACGCTGCGGAGCCCTCGCCAAGCCGGGGCCCCCACTTTCTCCTCTGCTACGACATCTCCGAGGGGCGAGGCCTCGACCGGCTGTAGCCGCTCGGCCAAGCGCCTCCCTCCCCCCCCCCCAACGCTCCGAGTCCGACCCGGTGTCCTCCTCGCCCCATCCGCACAGCGAGAGGCCACGCCAGTCACCAGTCATGTTCCCGTTCTCTCTGTGCTCTCGCTGCGAGCTGGTCGACTGTGTGGCAGCTCTGCAGCTCTCCTTGCGCGAGCCTCAGCCTGCCCCCTGCGCGACGCAGCACGCACACCTGGGTCACCTCAGGCGGCTCCCCTCGGCGGGCGCGGCCCTGCGCGCATCCGCAGCTTCACGAGTCTAACAGAAACAACTCGTGTAAATATGAACACACATCCGAACACACCGATAGGATCACTCGACACTCCCCTCCGAAAACTATAAATCACACCCGGCCGGACACACGCGCACCCCACTTCCGCACTTGCGTGGTAGCGACTTGCTGGTTGCTGTTGTCGTTGGTCCAGCGGCGCGGCGTCCCAGGCGGCGTCGGAGACCGTCGGAGTCGGAGCCCCGCGCGGCGCATCGCAGATCGCACGTCTTCGCGCGACGCGGCCGCCGCCGTCACTTCACACCAGCTGCATGGCCGGCGCCTCGGCCGTGGCCGCATCTGGCTTGCTGGCGCGCGAGCGGCGCAAGAGCCCGAAGGCCAAGAAGATGGCGGCAAAGGCACCTATTACGGTGCACAACGCGGCGGGTACTGCTGGTGGTGCGTGGAGCCTCGGCTCAACGGTGTGTGCTGGCGGCACCGGTTGCGGCGAAGACGCCGGCGTGGGTTGCGACCAGCTCGCCGGCCTCGTCCTACGGTGGGGGAGGTACGTGACGCAGGCGGCGGGGAGGTAAAAGGGAGGGTCGCGGCGAGAGGGGCGCACAATCTTGCGAAGGTAGTGAGGTGTGGCATAGTAGTGGCCCGTGTACTTGTTCCCGCCGTGGGTCCCGCAGCCCAAGGCGGAGCACCCTGTTGCGTGCCAGTTGCCCGTGTGGAGGTTCGTGGTGTAGGTGCCCTGGTGGTTGCTCGCAGTGACCTGGCCGGTCCATTTGTTCGAAGTGACCTTCCCGCCCTGCCAGTCGTGTGCCGTAGTGGTGCCGGTCAGATGGTTCGTGTGAACGCAGCCGGACAAGCCGCATGACGAGGTGACCCACTTCTCGGTCGGCGGTGCCGCTTCTCCCGCAGCCTTCTCTGTCGGCGGTGTGGGCTGCGCGGAGACCGCCGCCTCAGTCGCCTTCTCGACCAGCGGGGCGGGCTGCGTGAGCACAGTGAGGACGAGCGGGACCAGCATGACGCCGCGCCGGGCCCAAAGGGGAGTCACACACAGCTCGGCCTACCTCGGTGGATGCAGGGGGCTGAGGGGTTCGCCTCGCCGTTTGGCGCGCGGTTTCTCTTTCCTCCTGTGTGGTGCCAGTGCGCGCCAGTCCCGTGCCCAGTGTTGTGCGAGGGAGTTTTGTCGTAAAATTCTTTTCTCCCGCTTGATTCCATCGTAAGCCTTCCTTCTTTTTACCAGCCATGTTAACGTAACCGGCGCGAACTCGCTGCGGCCACACACGTGGCATCCGAGCGCGTCATGTTGACCCCAGCCTTCGTCACCAAGAAAGAACAGCAAGCAGACGCCCCTCCTCAAGACCTCCTCGGCGGGCGTTGGCAACGCCTCGAGCGGCGGCACGCCCGCCTCCGTTGGCCACTCCTACGCCTTCGGCAACACCGAGGAGAAGGCCCGCCGCCTAAACATGGGCTGCAAGGCGCGCGGGCAGCCCGGCCAACCCTTCGACCACAAGAACGGCCACGGCTACGTCAAGGCGCGCATCGCGGTTTCTACCACGACGCGATCTTTGTCAAGCGCAACAACTTCAACCTGCTGCTCCACGAGACGTTCGGCGGCGGCTTCTCGCCCACCGCCGTTCTCAAGCTGCGCCGCCTCGCGCGCAAAGTCGCGCGCGGCAGCGTCGACCGCACGGCCTACTCGCCCAAGTACTCGCTTTCTTTTATGTCCCACCATGCAGAGCGCATCTCTCTCTCTGTTGTGCGAGGCGTGAACCGCGCCATTCGCTCTCACCTGGCAACCCTGTCTGCACGTCTCGCGCGCGCGTGAACAGGCCCCAAATGACGTGTGAGTGTTAGAGTTGTTTGGTATTGCTAAAAATCTCTCTCGACTGGCAATCAGGCCGCCGATGCTTTGTTCCGCATGCTCGGGTCCACACCCGTCTGCACATTCAAACAGCCGTTAGTTCACGGCAGCGCTATCACGAAGCACAGCCGGGCCAGACGGAAGCACGCGCGTTTGTAGTGTTCGTGCTTGAGAGCAACCTGCGCTTCTCAATCGGAGGACAGGCCTCAGGCATGCACCAGTGGCACGGTGGCCGTGGAGTGCTGCTCGCCAGGCGGTGACTTTGGCAGCCACCTGCGGATCTGCAGGCCGGTGGCGAAGCCAAGCGCCGTGCCGACGCCAGCGCCCAGAGCAGAGACGGCACCAATGCCCAAGTACGCCAGGGGGATCATCATCAGAGCCATCGTCGTCGGCGGGATAAACGGAGTCGCAGCAAGGAAGGACGCACGACGGAAAGCAGCGCTCTGCTCCTTAGTTAGTGCTCTGGTATTCACGTAAACTCTAGGGCCCTGTAAGGTGCCTATATGGGCTTCCAGTATCGGACCTTCAAGACATGCGCTTTTGGCCGGTGGCCTCCTCGGACATGGTACCTCCGGTGAGATGAGTGGCTGCCAGTTCGAGACTGGGGCCGATCGAACTTGAGTTGTTCGGAGGAGGAATCCGGCCAGCACGGGTACAAAGAGGGGTACCCGGAGAATCCCCAGCTGCGGAGACGTAGTGTCGCTCAAGAGGTGCGATACTGCGGGGGAGTGAAGGTGCCTATATGGGCTTCCAGTATCGGACCTTCAAGACATGCGCTTTTGTTGGCCGGTGGCCTCCTCGCACCTCGGAGACAGGCCCCCTGAGGTGGCCAAAATCGTCACAGGTAAAAATCTCTTCTTTTTATCTTTTAGTGCAGTGCGCGATGTCCCCCAGTGAATCTGCCAGTGTTGTGCGAATTCCTATTTTTTGAGACCGACTCCATGTGAACTGTCCATGAACGGCCGAGCACAACACTTTGCTTGTCTACTCGAGCTGGAGCCGAGCAGGAGGGCCCAGCGCACAACCCCACTGCGACTCAGGGTCCACACCCCGTGGAGGGGGGCCGGGAGCGGTACGTACATCGCCCGGCGCTGCTTGCAGCTCACATGCTGCGCTCCGGCCTCCGCGGCGATCATGCATGGGCTGGACCCGCGCGATCATAAATCTCCACCGTTCCAGATTCACCTATCACCACTTTCGGGTTACGTTCGCAGGTGGCGAATAGGCACATGAGCGACGCGGATACAGAGCTTGCACCCTTTCGCCCTCCTCATCACTGCCCAAGCGCCCACGTCTCGATCTTCTTCGGCAGCAGCTGGTTCGACAGGTCCTCTCCGTGGCCTAGGGAGGCGTCTTCGCCCTCGCCCCAGGTAAAGACGGCGCTGTCAGCGGTGATAGCGATGCTGTGGTAGCCTCCCGCCGTCACAGTAACGACGCGCTGGCCAGCAAAGGCCTCGACCTTCTTGGGCTGCCACTTGTGCTGCTGGTCGCCGTGGCCTAACCGGCCATAGTATCCACTGCCCCAGCTCCAGACAGCGCCGTCGGCGGTGAGGGCGAGGCTGTGTTCGCCTCCAGCCGACACGGCGACGACGCGCCGCCCTGTCAAGGCCTCAACCTTCTTGGGCAGCGGCTGGTCCTGCTGGTCGCCGTGGCCCAACCGGCCAGAGTTGGCCCAGCCCCAGCTCCAGACGGCTCCGTCGGCGGTGAGGGCGAGGCTGTGCGCTCCTCCAGCCGACACGGCGAGGACGCGCTGCCCAGCCAACGCCTCGATCTTCTTGGGCAGCAGCTGGTCCTGCTCGTCGCCGTGGCCCAACCGGCCATAGGCTCCAGTGGCCTCGCCTCCAGTGCCCCAGCTCCAGACGGCGCCGTCGGCGGTGATGGCGAGGCTGTGGTTGTCTCCAGCCGACACAGCGACGACGCGCTGGTCCGCAAAGGTCTCGACCTTCTTGGGCAGCAGCTGGGCCTGCCGGTCGCCGTGGCCCAGCTTGCCGAAGGCTCCACCGCCCCAGCTCCAGACAGCGCCGTCGGCGGTGAGGGCGAGGCTGTGAGACATTCCCACCGACACGGCGAGGACACGCTGGCCATCAAAAGCCTCGATCTTCTTGGGCAGCAGCTGGTCCTGATGAAAGTCGCCGTGGCCCAGCTGGCCATCTTCTCCACGGCCCCAGCTCCAGACGGCGCCGCCGGCGGTGAGGGCGAGGCTGTGGTACTCTGCAGCCGACACGCTCATGGCGCGCTCGCCGCCCAGCGGGGAAGGGAGCCGGGTCGGCGCGTTGAGCCGCGTCACGCCCTCGCCGTGGCCGAGAAGTGAACGCTCCTCATCGTACTCCTCCTCGTCCTCCTCGTCCTCCTCGCCCTCTGCTGCCGAACCGCACGAAGAGAGCCGCCCCTCGCCGTCGATGAAGAGGCTGTGCCGTTCGCCTGCGGCCGCCCTCGCCGGCGGGTTGTGCTCGCGTAGCAGCACAGCGAAGCACAGCCACCGCACGGCACAGCCCTCGCCCTCTGGCACCGCCGGCAGCTCGTGGCCGCGCTCTTGCGCCCACAAGCGGATGCCCTCTAGCGCTAGCGAGGCGTGGAAGAGCAGCGAGACGGCCGCGACGCGAGCGATGTCGGCGGGGTCGCAGTGAGAGAGGGCGCGCAGGAGGAGGTCCGTGGGGAGGTCGATGAGGCGGGCGGGCGGCGGCGTGCTCGGCGAGGGCGCGGCGGTGGCGGCGGGGGCGAGGTGACGCGAGCGGCGGCGCGGCGGGGTGGACATACACACATCCATGTCATGTGCATGTATGTCCATGTGCATCGCGAGAAAAAGAAAACGGTCTGCTCGCGGTCGCCACCAGCTTGCAACACCCTGAACGGATGTTGTCTCAAGGGGCAGTCAGGTAGTCTCGGGGTGGGGTGCTGCTTCTACGCCGTGGGCCACGTTTGCTCCGAGACTACCATGGTAACAAGGACGCACACTACAAGGGGAACTGAGTAAGTACGGCCTACATACACACGGGGGTACGGACAGGTGGTGGCGCTCGACATGTATGTACCTTATATGTGTATGTATGTACTTTATGAAGCGCCACGCGTGTATGTACTTTATGAAGCCAATTGGGGAGCTTCGGTGCTCGGGCGCGCTCACCATGTGGTCGTTCAGGGCGGCTTGCACAGCGCCTGCACACACACACACACACACACACACACACACACACACACGCACGCACGCACGCACGCACGCACACACACACACACACACACACACACACACACACACACACACACACACACACACACACACACACACACACACACACACACACACACACACACATGCACACACACACACATGCACAGACACACAGCCCCTTCCCCTTCCCTCTCAAGACCGCAAGGGCGAGGACACGCGTAGGCCGCACCACTATAGCGAAGCCCACAGAGTGGGAGACTCCTATCACCGCCTCTGCCACCCACGGCGTGAGCCTTGTCCGCCTCTGTCAGTGTGCCCGTGATAGTGAGAGACTGCCAGTGAGAAGCCGGAGGAAGGTCGCTAGTCGAGAGAGATCGCCAGTGGAATAGGGAGTCCACCGTGCTGCGAACCTGTCGCTGTCCCTTTTGTCAGTAGCAGGAGAACTAGGAGAGCGCAACCAGTAGGAGGCCCGCGCCTGCCCCCGTGCCGCCGGGTGCAACTTTGTCCTATACGAGAGGGGAATCCCTGGGACCCTGTCGTGTGGGTGAACCCTGCCCAGCCCCCCTCCGTGGTCGCGATGCGCTCCCCGCTCCCGTTCCCCTGTGTCCCTGATCGTCCTTACAAGATCCTGCTCGCGCAGGTGGGGACCCTGTCCTTCTCCCACCCCTTGTTTGGTGTGTCCGTTTTATTTATTTATGAGCGCTGGCCAAATTCTTTTTCTCGTCTCTGTGTCGGCACGCCCGCCGACGGCTGGTCCAAACAACAGGCACAGTGCATGCCGGGACAGTATATGCATTAGAGTATGCTTTCCCCTTTTAATTCATTGCGGCCGCGGGCTTGCCCGGATTACTTTCCCTCGAAGAATACTAGTTTTCTGGCAGCCTGTGCAAAAGAAATCCCCAAAATCGGCTCTACAATCCAGGGGGCACAGTCAGTGGGCCGTGGCGTGGCATCCCAGTTGGCTTGCTGCCTGCCGCCAGCGCCTCGCCGCCGCGCTGGACGAGCACCACCGAGGCGATCGGCACCACACCAGGCGAGGGCTGACCCGGACACCATGGACCTTGATCTTCTCCTCTCCACGGCGCTCTCCGCCGTCACGCTCGCCGCATACGTGCACACGCTCTGTCCAGGCACGCCCGGCGGCGACGCCGGAGAGCTGCTGCAGGTCGCGCTCGAGCTCGGCATCGCTCATCCACCCGGGTACCCTCTTTGGACGATGATGGCTCATGGCTTCTCTCGGCTTCCACTGCGCAACACCACCGCCGCATGGCGCGTCAACCTCTCCTCCGCCGTCTATGGAGCTCTGGCTGCAGGCACCCTCTCGCTCGGGGTCGGATCTTGGAGCGGCTCGCCGTGGGCTGGCGTCGCTGCTGGAGGCGCCTTCGCCTTCTCTCCGCTCGTGTGGGAGTATTCTGTGCAGTGCGAGGTGTCATACGAGATCACGCGAGATCGCCCGAGATGACACGACATCAAGGAAACATTCGAGATCACCCGAGATCCACTGAGATACACCCAGAACCACACCCAGGACATCACGACACACCAGGTGTTTGCGCTCAACAACCTGCTCTGCGCGGCGATGCTCCTCGCCCTCCTCCGCTTCGACGCTCGCCGCACCGTCGGCCGCGCCGGCGCCGGCGCCTTCGCCGTCGGCCTCGCCCTCTCCAACCAGCACACTGCCGTCTTCTTCGGCGCGCCGTTTGCGCTCTGGGCGCTGCTTGCCGGCCGCACTGCGCTGCTCCGCCCGGCGCCGCTCCTCCTGCTCGCCGCGGCTGGCCTGGCCGGTCTCAGCCCGTACCTCTACCTCGTGGCGCGCGGCGGCGAGTCCGCGGCGTGGGGCTCGTGGGGCGAGACATCGACGGCGCCGCGCAGTGTCTTCACACACCACCGAGGTCCGGCCGCGGCAGCGCCACTTCACACCTCCGGGTGCGGACAGGTTCGCGGCTTCCTCACCCACGTTCTCCGGCTCGAGTACGGCACGTTTCGGCTCGCAAACACGCCCGCAGGAGAGAGCACGTACGAGGCGGCGAACACCCACACACGACATCCCACCAGTGCCTAAAGCGGCTGTGGAGCCGAGGGCCTCGGCACTTGACTAGCAGGTCGCTGTCGCGCTCACTGAGCCGCCTTTGAAGGCTTACTAGCTTCTGGTGCAATTAGCGCCCCAGACAGCGACAGCAGTCAACTTGCCATTCAACAGGACGCGCCACCTCCCCAGACCATCGCACTGCGCTCTCCCGCGACCGACCACGCACACCCTGCCCCCGCAGCGACCGACGCCGAGTTTGGCCTCCGCCTCCGACGCTTCTCGGAGTCCCTTTCGGAGGAGCTGCCGCCGTATGCGGCTCCGATCGCCCTGCTCGGCCTCTTCTCCTCGTTTGGGTTGCTTGGAACAGGGAGAGGAGGAGGCGGAAGAGGCGGTGGAGGAGGCGGCGGCGGCGGCGGAGGCGGCGGCGGAGCAACAGCAGGCGCAGCAGCAGCAGGCGGAGGAGTAGGAGGCGGAGGGGGGAACGCCGCCTCGTTACAAGACTCGCGCGGCGCTCCGGTCGCGGTGGCCGTCGGCGCCGCCTTTGCGCTGTACTCGCTCCTCTTCCTCTGGCTCGCCAGACTAGCCTGCTGACACCTGAGCTGTCGACGGCGCACGCGTCACATGTGCGGCCGTGAACAGGCTGGCCAACCTGCCCGCCTCGTCCGCCTTCTACCTGCAAGTCCAGCGCCGCTTCTGGACGCAGCCTCTCCTGCTGGTCGCCGCCTGGTTCGGACTCGGGGTGACCCCTCTCGCCTCCTAGCTCGCGCCCCCTGTGAACAGCGCCTCTTCACACAGCGGTGGGTGTGAACAGGTGGCCACCCTCACCTCCCGGCTCGCGCCCCGCCGCCCCGCAGCCGCCGCCGCTCTCTCCCTCCTCCTCGTCGCCGCGCACGCCTCCCACCCATTCGCCGGCGGGCGAGTGGCGGGGTGCGGAGTAGCCGTGAACGGCGCCTTTTGACGCGTCGAGCGGTGCACAGGCGGCGGGCGAGTGGCGGATTGCGCTGACGTCCCGCTCTTCGACGCCTTTGGGGGCGAGGTGCTCCGCGCTCTGCCCGACAAGAGGCGCGTGCTGCTGCTGACGGTCGGCGATGAGGTTGCCAACCCTAGAAGCGGAAGCCTCACTCTTGTAGCTAACTCGATTTCACGCGGTGCTCTGAATACTCTGCACGATACGTCTTCCCGCCCTGAGGCTGGTGTACTCACACGACGTAGGCTGCCCATATCTCCCCATATCTCCCCATATCTCCCCATATCTCCCGCTTCAGGCTGGTGTACTCACGACGTAGGTGGTCAACTCGGTGCGCTACCTCCACCGCGCTCTCGCCGTGCGGCAGAGGCTGGCCTTCTCCTCGGCTTTCTCCACGCCGCCGTGATCAGGGCTTCACCCGCCCCTCCGCCGTGAACAGGCTTGCATGTCGCCGACCTCTCAGCCGCGCTGCGGGCGGCGCCTCTTCACAGCACGCGCTTGGGTGCGAGCAGGCTGACCATCCTCGACCTCAACTACGCGCAGTTCCGCTGGTTCGTCCGGCGCGCGGCGAGAGCAGGCGCCGGCTTCGACGGCGTCTCGTGGCCGGGTGACGCCTACGGCTCCTCGCCGGGCAGTTTCCTCATGGAGCAGCTCCTCGACGCAAACTACGACGCCTTCGAAGTGTACGTGTGTGGCGGGATGCACCCCAGAGACGAGTCGTGGCGGCGCGGCTACCAGCTCTGGCCAGTAGGCCTCGTGTCCCAGGTCGTGCGGCGCGGGACGCCCTTCGACGCCCAGGAGTGGGCCGCGCGGTCGGCGCGCGCGCTGCCCCGCCTCGCGTTTGCGCGGCCGCCGCAGCCGGGCAGCTGGGCCGAGGTGGTGGCGAGAAACCATTACGTGCCCGCTTACGCGCTGCGGCCCTTTGCGCTGCTCGAGGCGGCGTACGCGGCGAAGGGGCACGCGGCCGCAGAGAGGGCGCTGTTCAACGCCGCGGCGCGGCTGTACGACGAGACCGTGGCGGTGGAGCTCAACGGCTCGCTGCGCATGCCAGAGTACGTGTGGCGCAACCTCGGCGTCGCGCACTCGCAGCTGCTGCGGATCGAGCCGGGCGCGGCTGCGCGCGCCGCCGCCAGGAGACGCGCCGCGTCGGCCTTCCTGCGATACCTCGCGCACGACACGGTCGACGCGGCCGACCGCGAGACCGTCGAGCAGGCGGTGCTCTCGCTGGCGGACACGTAGCCCACAATCTCTCGCTTTCTCGGCTCGTCTTACTCTTTACGTGTACGCGTTAGGGGCACTGTTTTCTTTTTAAAAAGAGTACTCTTGCTGGTAGTGGTACTCTGCCGCGGTGACCGCACCTCGATCCTCGTCGTGGTACGTCGTACGACGCCTCCCCCGCGGCGCCTACCCCGCTGCATTTCATGTGCTTGAAGCCGTCCATGCTGATCCCTCCGCCGTACCCCTCCTTTGCGTAGACTGGGGGCGGGACGAGGAAGGTCGAGTAGGGAGCAAAAAGGAGACGGGCGACAGACACACCGGGGGCACTCACGGCGGCACGAGTTTTATGTCGTTTTGAGTTTTGTTGGAATTACTAAAAATGAGTAAGCCATCAACACGAGCACTCTGATAGACCTGCAGCAAAGAGGGCGGGCTGACGTGACACGACACACGTGAGACAGGGTGAGGAAGACAGGATTCTGATTCTGAGAGGGAGCCCCTCCCTCCGGTCTCAGTTGCGACGACTTGCCGCGCCTGCGCGCGCCGGAAGTTCTTTGCCAGTTCTGCTCTGCGAGGACCACACGCCACCCTCTCGCTCACTTTGCCTCGCCGCCGCTGAACTTGCCAAAAGCCGCGCACAGCATTGTCTGGATCGCGGCGAGGACGGCGCCGATCGCGTTCGGGACGAGGAGGTACCAGTCCTGCGGCGGAAAGACAACGGGCTGAGGCGCTGAGGCGCCGCAGCTCGCGGAAGGCACGGGCTCCGGAGACAGGGTGGGTCTCAGCCGAGTGCGGTCGACGCGCGAATTCGAGAGTGCGAGAGAGGGACCGGGCAGGTGATCACACGCGACCGGCACGCATAACTCGATTGATTCGAGGCTCTCTGTACGGAGGCGCTGCCTCCCTCGTGATTGGTTGGGGGTGCCTGGGAGAAGAAGTGCTTTGATGCACAACGTGTGGTCCAGCACCTAGGCCACCCGTCCTTGATTGCGAGGGCGTACACCGACCAGAAGGCCCCGTTGAGCCCGTTGGCCGCCACGGTAGGGAAGTAGATGGAGGCGGCCGATCGGTCCTTGAGCACCTGCAAGGTACAAGTACTCTCGGGGACTCTCTCGGGCCATCTCAGGTACCTCGGTCCTTGGCACCTGCAGCCATGGCACGCATGCCTTCCTTCATTCATCAGCTCGACGGAGGCGGACAGCGATTCCGCCCACCCGCCGCCCCCTCCCCCCAAGGACGCAGACTGCCCGTCTCTCGAGTGCAGTGCCCGCTCTGCCTGGCTACTCGACCACCTTGCCGATGGACGAGAGCGGCGCGCCTGGGGACGCGTCATGGTCGTGTCATGGGGCGGGCCTCGGGACGTGCCACGTGGACGGTGGGGCGAGACGGGCGCGCCATAGTATGCCAGCAGGATCAGGTTGGAGACGATGCCGTAGAGGGAGGCCATGCCGGCGCGGGTGGGGACGAAGAAGGCGCACGCGACCGCCGTCGCCGCGTGGATGGCGGCCAGGACCAGGAAGGTGACCTCCATCTGCTTTGCGACGGGCTTGGACGCAAGCGGCAGGCAGGTGAGGACGTACCAAAAGCCTACATGCTGAATACACCGACCTCAGGGCGGGAAGACGGTTGGTGCGGAGTATTCAGAGCACCGCGTGAATACGGGCGACACAAACACGGTGAATACCGCTGAGATACGGCCGAATACAGTGGAATCCGTGTCCTCTCGAGCGCTGGTTGAATACATGTATCCGCTTCTAGGACCAGAAGCCGAGCAGCAGGCCGGGCACGTTGGCCGCCGTCACGTACGGGTCCTTGGAGAGCAGCGCGTACGACAGCCAGCCGAGGCAGTTGCCAAAGACGATTGGGGTGGGCAGCGGGTTATAGTCGCCGAGCTTTCCCTCCCTGCGCTTGGCGAGCACCTCAGGGAAGCCGGACGCGAACATGACGTTCGCCATCGTCGCGCCGAGGACCGGGGCGACGCTGAGGAGGGGAGGGGGTGCCCACGCGTGCACTCAGAATCGGACGCACGGCCACCGGGAACAGGGAGCCACCCAATTCGATGACGGACCCCTCGCCCATCGCAAGGGACGAGAGGGGCGGTGCCGTGCGGACCTTGTGGCAAAGCTCATCTCAGCTGCGCCTCCGCGCAGCCGGAACCTGGCTGAGGCGGCGAGACGGCGGTCGGCTCGCATCGCAGGCCGCGGTGGGCTGCTAATCGCCGAGCCGGATGCAAAGCTGAGGAGGACGATGGCGGCCGGCAGATTCATCGGAGAATTCAGGAACGGCTTGCGCGAGGGACGCTTTCCAACCCACGCGTTTGAAGAATTCACTGTGGCCCGATCTTCCTGCAGCTCTCTGACATCGTGGGCGCCGGCGCCGAGTAGATCTTCTTGCCGGGCGGCCCTCGGCGCTCGAGTGTCGCCAGGTGCTTGACATATGCCGGCCGCCTCTTAACCCTTTCAGGCACACATTTCGAGCGAGTGAAAACCAACTCCTGAGCACGGCGCCGCAGGCGCCTGTTGATAGGTCCCCAGGTGATAGCCCTGGATGGGCAATGCATTCGCCTACTTGGGCCTCAGATCGCCCGACCGCGTCCCGGTGCTCTGTGGTCGGATTTGTGACGCCGCCGCACCGCGCCGCGGCCGGGGGCCGCCGGAGGACGAGGATGGCCGTGACGGACCGGGACGAGCTCTGGGAGGTTCAGTGTCAGTGAGTATATTGTAGAGGCCACTCATGTGCACAATATCTTGACTGAGAGCTAAGCCCGGGGAGGCGATGCCGGGGCCGTATAGCAGCTTGATGGTGATTCGCCGGCGTAGAACTAGAAGCGGCCGCGGCGGGCTCCGGGTGAGAGAGAGATTTTTAGAAGCCAACAAGAAATGTGTCACAAGACTAAATGATTTTCGACCGACCGCAGGGAAACGCAGGGGCGCCCCCCCCCGACCGAGCTGCGAAACATCGGCCGCCGCTCGACAACCAAAATTTTCTTCGGCGCTGCGCGCCGTTGCAGTCGAGTGTATGTCTGTGTATGTTGCAGCCCAGCTATCGTGCCGCAAAATAGGTCCACGTGGTTAGAAAAAATGCCCTGGAAAGCGCCCGCCGGTGTGTGTCCAAAGTGCAAAGATGTAGCGCTACAAGTTGGGGACGCATCCGACACCCGGGCAGGTTTTCGCGCTTAGCAGCTCGCGCGTACGCCACCGCAGCCTCCACCGCCGTGTCGAACACGCCGAGGTAGACCTGCTTCCCACCCAGCCACTGCTGCGCAACAAATCGGCCGTCCTGCCGACACACGCCCCAGTAGCCGGCGCTGCTGCGGCTCGAGAGGTGCAGACGCAAGCCCGCTGCCTCCGTTCTGACCGCCATAGTGTCCGCCATAGTGTCCGCCTGCCTGGCTGTCACCGTCTTTGGCAGAGGCGTCCCTACCGGCGTGACAGTGCCGGGCGGATCGATCGCCTGTGTGGCGCCGGTAGAAGGTGAAGGCGCCGGAGGATCGAGCCGCTCAACAAGGAGCGCACACTGGTGCCGCCTCTCGTTCCAGACCAGCACGAGGCCGGTTCGGGTGGAGCCGCGATCTGCCGACATATCTTGCGCGATGATGCAACCGTTGCAGCCGTCCGTACGCGAGCACGGCATGCGGATGCGGAGCGTGTAGGCTGTCTGCTGCGCGACTAGATGCTTGACACGCACCTTTCGCAGGTGAGGCGCGGCAGGATCCTCCCTGTCTTGGGCTCGCGACAGGCGACCGCTCCGGACGAGGTCTTCCCAGGAGAGGATCTCCTTTGCTGGTGGTGCCATTCGAAGCAACAGGCGATGTGGCCGCTCGGCAGCCTGGGCGCGAGCGGGGGGGCGAGCGCGCGCCGGCGGACGGGCTCCAAGTTTGTCAAGTTCGCCTAGAAGAATTTTCGCCTCCGCAATGTATTCTTTTTTGCCGTATTTGTTATGAGAAGAAAATACGTCCTATGGCGCTATGCGCTGGTCTGTGAGAGGTTGAGGTACGATCGAGGGGTCCCGTACCATGCGGAATCGACCCTATCAAGTGCTCAAGTGCTCAAGTGCGAGCCCTGGAGGCCCTGGGGATGGGGGGATACTACCCGCGGGCCTAGAATTCACAGCCTTGTTATTGAGAAGAAAATACGTCCTATGGCGCTGTGCGCTGGTCTGTGAGAGGTTGTTCACATAAACGCACAACCCCGGGCCCCGAAATCGCACAGTGACAGTCAGACATGCAAACACGGGGTAAAGAAGAAACCAGTGCCGCGCTTTATGCCGACAAGGAGGACAAACACTCGACTCCTTGCCCTTGCATCGCGTCCTCCATTGCTCCCGCATCGAGTCCATGGTCCACGTCTCCCTCCGCTCACACGGCGCCCCGCTCACCCTCGGATTCCTCAACGGCGAGTGGCATCGTGTCGATCCGGCCGAGGGCCACCCGCCGCGGCCTCGCTTTGTCAAGCAACCGCTGAGTTCTGATGCTCCCTGGCCTGCCGGGGTCACGAGCATTTCGCTCACCTTTCATCGGGAGCAAGAGCAGTGGTGCGCCACCTCGGACGACGGCCAGCACGTCTTCCTTCGCGCGCAGAGCAGGGCCTTCCATCCCAACACGGTCGACTCGATTGCGTGGCGACTGTGCACCGCCACCGGCGAGAGCGGCAGCCCCGAGCAGCAGGTGCCGGGCTTCGGGTTCGCGGTCGAGGGTCCAAACACCGAGGCGGAGCCGTTCCAGGTCGAAGAGCTCGGCCTCGACTATTTCCTCCGCAAGGGCAAGAATCGCACCGTCGTCTGGTTCCAAGACCCCGACACCAAGGAGGTCTTCCACTCGGCGGCAAAGGGCATCGAGGGCAGCACCCACTCGGCGCGGCTGCTGCCGGGCAAGCGGTGGTGCCCCAACTGCCGCAAGAGCATCTCCGCAAACAACTTCCAGCACCAGCACCTCCGCTCCTGCGCCGGCGAGTTCAGCACGCCCTCGGGCGAGCAGGTCGCCGCAGCGTGGAAGGAGCTCCGCGAGCAAGTTGCCACGCCGACCGACTCGTGGCGCCGGTGCGTGGCGGGCGCGAATGCGGCCAACGTCGACGTGGCTGGCGCGAACTTCGCCTCCATCGGCGCGGGCGCGAACCTCGCCTCCATCGGCGCGCCGGTCGCGGATGACGCCTCCAAGAAGCGCCCGCTTGATCCCGTCCTCGTGTCGGCCGCCCTTGCGTGGGTTCGTGCGACGAGGCAGCGGTCGCAGCCGGGCAAGGCCGAGCCGCTATCGCCCAAGGAGGAGGAGGCGGCGGCGGCGCTGTGCGTGAACCGCGAGGCGCACTGCGCCGAGTACCGCCTCGCCGAGCTCGAGCGGCGCTGGTTTGGCGCGGTCGGCCGCGGCGGGATTGAGGCGAGGGTGCACGCCCTCGAGAGCGCTGTCCTGCTCTGCCACACACCCGGCCGCCTCTCGGCGAGGATCGACGCGATTGCGGCGGAGCTCGACGGCATCGCGACGCGCGTGCCGCCGCTCAAGGAGGCGCCGCCCAAGGCGATGCCCCACGACGGCGCGCACCCGGCAAACACCTATACCCACCACGCATTCGTGCCCTCGGTGCCTGCGGTGCCGCTCGCCAACATGACTGCGCCCGTCGCCATCGCCGCAGCCGTCACGGCAGACTAAAGGAAACGGCTCCGCCGGGCAACACAGCGTTATTGTCGGACCTGCCGATGGTCGACCCTCTCCCGCGCGAGCCGGTGTACAGAGAGAGATGGATGCGGGAGCAGAGAGTGCTGAGTGGCATGCGCATGTCATATAGTTGGTCGAGTTCAATACACAGCCGTGTGCACGTACCATGCGTGTGTCAGCTGACCCCCCTATTTTCGGAATTGCGCGTTTGCGGCCGCGACGACCGCGCGAAAGCCGAAACTCAAAGACAACTCAAGGGTCAAACACTCACAAGTCACATGTGAATTGTGATACCAGTTACCACACAGTAAGGTTTAACGATAATGTACGATACGTCATAAAATCCCAGCTCATGAAGGGTAGTGAGGAGTGAGCTCCACGATCGTATACCGCGTACCGTCGTGAGTCAGCTTATGCCGACGTCCCGACGGACTCAGATACGTCAGCGGAGGGTACAAAAACTCGCGCTCCTGCGGGAAGGCAGAGAGGAAGGTGAGATCGGCGCCCTCCTGCATGAAGGAGTCCACACGCAGCATGAAGAGAAGCGCGTGAGGCACGCCTCTAGCATACCGGACGGCGACGCGCATGGCCGAGTATTTGACGGGGTAGGTAGGGTAGGGTCTGGGTCGGGTTTTTCCCTCTCTCACGCCGGAATTTTCACAGCAGAAAAAGAAATTTTCCGCGCAAATCACGATGTCAACCCTCCCCAAGTCGTTGATCTGGTGCTTGTAGGGCTTGAGAGTGGCCTGCCATGTCACAGGAAGGACTGTGGTTGCCGGCTAGTACCACCAGCCATCACTTTAGTTGGTGTATATACCACCTTCACCCGTCCCGTGATTTCTTTTTTAGTTTCTCCATAAGTAAGGTAGGGCAGGCGCCGGTCAGGTTTTTGCAGAATTTCATCATGAAACCCGGCCAAGCAAAAATAAAATACACCCAAAGAACACCTTTCTCCGATGTCCACCCCACCGCGCCGCCGCTCGCGCCGCCTCGCCTCCGCCGCCACCGCCGCGCCCTCGCCAAGCACGCCGCCGCCCACCCGCCTCCTCGACCTCCCCACGGACCTCCTCCTGCGCGCCCTCTCTCGCTGCGACCCCGCCGACATCGCTCGCGTCGCAGCCGTCTCGCTGCTCTTCCACGCCTCACTCGCGCTAGAGGGCATCCGCTTGTGGGCGCAGGAGCGCGGCTACGAGCTGCCGGCGCAGCCAGAGGGCGAGAGCTGCGCCGTGCGGTGGCTGTGCTATTCGGCGCTGCTGTGCGAGTCCAACCCGCCGGCGAGGGCAGCGGCAGGCTATTGGCACAGCCTCTTCATCGACGGCGAGGGGCGGCTCTCGTCGTGCGGCTCTGCGCCGTCCTACTCTCCAGCCCTCCTCGGGCACGGCGAGGGCGTGACGCGGCTCAACACGCCGACCCGCCTCCCGTCGATGCTCGGCGGCGAGCGTGCTGTGAGCGTGTCGGCTGGAGATATGTACAGCCTGGCCCTCGCCGCCGACGGCGTCTGGAGCTGGGGCAGTGGAGGCTTTGGCAAGCTGGGCCATGGCGACCATCAGGACCAGTGGCAGCCGAAGAAGATCGAGGCCTTTGCTGGCCAGCGCGTCGTCGCTGTCTCGGCTGGAGATAGTCACAGCCTCGCCCTCACCGCCGACGGAGCCGTCTGGAGCTGGGGCCGTGGAGGCCAAGGCCGGCTAGGCCACGGCGACGAGCAGAACCAGCTGCTGCCCAAGAAGGTCGACGCCTTCGACCGGCGTGTCGTTGCTCTGTCGGCTGGAGGATACCACAGCCTCGCCATCACCGCCGACGGAGAGGTCTGGAGCTGGGGCGATGGAGGCTATGGCCAGCTGGGTCACGGCGACGAGCAGAACCAGCTGCTGCCCAAGAAGGTCGACGCCTTCGACCAGCGTGTCGTTGCTCTGTCGGCTGGAGGCCAGCACAGCCTCGCCATCACCGCCGACGGAGAGGTCTGGAGCTGGGGCTTTGGAGGCTACGGCCAGCTGGGCCACGGCGACCAGCAGAACCAGCTGCTGCCCAAGAAGATCGAGGCCTTGGCTGGCCAGTGCGTCCTCGCCGTGTCAGCTGCATACTTCCACAGCCTCGCCCTCACCGCCGACGGCGCCCTCTGGAGCTGGGGCTTTGGAGGCTCTAGCCAGCTGGGCCACGGCGACCTGGAGGAGCAGCTGCTTCCGAAGAAGATCGAGGCCTTTGCTGACCAGCGTGTCCTCGCTGCGTCGGCTGGAGTGGCGCACAGTCTCGCTCTCTCCGCCGACGGCGCGGTCTTTACCTGGGGCCAGGGCGGCCACGCCTGCCTAGGCCACGGAGAGGACCTTTCAAACCAGCTGCTGCCGAAGAAGATCGAGCCGTGGGCGCCGGGGCAGTGATGAGAAGGGAGGAAGGGTGCAAGGCTCTGAGTTTCCGAGTCGCCCACGTGCCTATCCCCCCATGTGCCTATCCGCCACCTGCGAACGTAACCCGAAGTGGCGAGAGGCGAATCCGGGACGGAAGAGGTTTATGATCTCGCCCATGCTGCGCCGCGCCTTGTATGCTCGTGCGTCGTGTCCTCGACGCGGAATGGCACGCCCGCCTCGGAGAGCGCCAGCTCGATCGCGAGTGAGCCGGACCCGCGGCTGCCGTACAGGATGTAGCTCATTGCGACAGCCACTCGAAAAAAAATTGCTTTAGAAGAAAAACGAGCAGGCATATTCTCCCCCCTCCATTCGCTCTCCCCCTTGGCGTGGCGCGCCTCTCCCCCAGCTCTCGGTATCGCGTACTGCACGAGGCTACCGTGGGCCCCGCCTGCGCGCTGGGGGTTCCCTGCCCTGTCGGGAAGCCTAGCTCTGAACCTGGGGTCGCTACCTAATGCGGGGCGAATGAGTGATGAAGTTAGTGCCTTGGTGTGCCCGTTTCCCATGATGGCTTCCCCTGGCTCTCGCGACCATGAATGAGAGCTCTCACTCCCAGGGTACTCCCGCGTATCTCGGCTCCCTTATCCCCCCCCTCTTCCCTCCCCTTTCTCTCTCCGAGATGACCCGTGCTCTACGTGCCTAGGTTCGGTCCTCGGGGGGGGGGGGATTGTCGTCGTGTCATCATTGAGTATCCTTGACCTTGTCGATGGACGCCCAACAGTTTCGATTTCCCTCCTTAGCGCCCCGGGTAGAGCGTGGCCTCCCCTGGAGCCTGCCACGCCCGTTCTGTCTAAGCCCAGGGTTCAGCTTTCCAGTTGATCCTTATCGGACTGGTGAGTTCCTTCTCGCTGTCAGTGTGACGCCCTGGCAGTCATTGGCAGCGGTGCTACACACACTACGCCATCTTTCGTTTGGGTTTTAAGGGTGTTTTTTGTTAACAATTTCTACGGGCTAGCGATGTCGCAGTACATGCGCACTAGTTTGGCAGCGATAACGTCCCCGTGGCATGCTAGGGGGGCGCATGCGCACACCAGCCCCACGCGTCTGCCTCGCAGCATCAGAGCGAGGACTCTTCCCAGCATCTCCTTGCGCTGTTCTCTCGTGACTCGCGCTGTCCCTTGATGGATACGAAGGGGAGGGGTGTAGTCTCTCGCCACCTTCCAGCGGAGGTCTCCCGTCTTCTAGAATCTCAGCAAACCCGTCGATTACGAGTCCTCTCTCTGCCTCTCCTCTCATGCCGAGAGGGTTGCCGAGGGGGGTGCCTCTCTGGATGGGTACTAGTGTGAGATCTGGATCTCGGGGTGGGAGTTGGTGCTTATTCAGCACCGTAACTAGTTGTCAGGCTGTGTTCCGCATGTCGGCGTCGGAGGAGGAGGAGGCCCCCTGGCGGGCTCGCTTGCGGCGGAGGATCTCGTTCCTCTTGCCCTCCACCTCGTCCCTCGACGCCATGTTCCTCTTGCCGCCGCGGTACACGCCGATGCAGGTGCACATGAGCTGCGTCTCGCTGCCGACGAGTCCCATCTGTGTACGCAGGGGGAGAGGGGTCGGAGTGTTTTTCTTTATTTGGGGGTGTTTTTCTTTTTGGTTGGGGCTGCCTGCTGAAGGTGGATGATGCGGTCCTTGACGGGCTTGCAGTACGAAGTCCGGGGGGTCAACTTGAGGCACTTGTCGCAAAAAAAGATGGTCATGTTCTTGTTGGTAAAGCCGACCTTCCAGTCGTATCCGTTCTTGTCAACGAAGATCGTCCCGTTGTGGTTCAGCTTGATCTGTGGGATGCCTTTGGGGTTGATGTTGAAGGCGTCCTCGAAGGCGTTCTTCTGGACCTGCATGCGGCGGTGGGTGGTGGGTTGAGGGGGTATAGCGCAGGAAAAGAAATAGGGAAAAAGAAACCTCGCTGTGGAAGCCGAAGTAGGTCTTCGTCTTGTCGAACTGGACGCCGTTGCGGTAGGCCATCGCGATGCCGTAGGTGTCACAGAGGTCGTACAACCCTTTCTGCAGGGACTCGCTCACGGACTGGTAGGTCTCGCCTCGGCCTGGGACGGAGACGCGCTCGAAGTAGATCAGCGTCCCCTCCTCCGAGGATTTGGACTGGTCCATGGCCCATTTGACGGCGGGGGCGCACCTTGACCGGATCTGCGGGAGGATCTCGACCATGAGCTTGGCGCCGTAGCCCGTCGTGATCATCTTGGGGGGCTTTGCGATGATGATGGGGTCCTGCGCGTGGGTTCGGTACTTTGTGAGTAGGGGATGGGTTCGGCTATTTGTGGGTATGATGTGATTCGGCTGTTTGTGGGTGTGGCGGATTGAAAGTCTTAGTGGGTGGAGAATATGGGCGTTCCTGTTTGATTCCGCCGCGGACGACGTGGATCTCCACGTAGTACGTCTGGGAGGAGAGCTGCAGGGCCTCGCCCCCGAACGCCTTGATCACGTTCTTGCGCAGGTTGGCGATCCCGAGCGAGCAGCCGCGCGGCACCTTGAACTCGCGCACGATCGTGTTGTGGACCTCGCCCTCGTCGACGGTCCCGAGAAGGGCGACCGGCTGGGGCGGGGCGGACAGGCGCAGGTGGATGTCATAGGGGTCGGGCTTGTTTCGGTCGATCTTGACGGGGACCGAGTCGTCCACGGCGTCGTCGACATCGGCGACCGAGAAGACGATCGTGCCGCCGTCCGGGATGTCGTTGGGGTCCCCTGTGGTAAGGGATCGTCGTCGTGACCCCGATGGTGGCGATGGAAGAGGCCATGGACTCGAACGTGAATCCGTCCTGGAGCTCGCCGAGAAGGTAGAAAGTAGAGTTCCTGCCATGCTGCAGAGTGAGTTTGTGGTCGAACTCGTCGTGGCCCGCCTCGATGAACATCGCGGAGACGATCGTGGCGACGTGCTCGGCGTTGATGCCGTTGCCGGCCTTCATCACCAGCATCTTCTCCTTGAGGGGCGCGTCGGGAACGTCGAGGTTCATGTCCTGGCACATTCAGGGTGGAAAGTATATGAGTTGCCAGGCGTGAGGCTTGCAGGAGAGCCGCGTGGCGCGGCGGTTCGGGGTTTTGGGCGGCTGGACCCGGGTTCGAATCGGGCTCGCGGAGCGTCGCGGGCGCGTGGGTGCGTGGTGCGTGTGCAGTGCAGCAAGCGAGAGAGAGAGAGAGAGAGAGCAGGGCTTCTCTCTTTTGTCTCGCCGCGGCTGTTTCCTCTTCCGCGTGCTGGTCGTCATCTCGGGGTCTGTTCGGTGAGGACAGTGGCGTGCGTCGGGGTGTAGGTGGGCTCTGGTGGAGCTGTGTACTTGGTCTGTGCACAGGCGCTTTTTGTCGTGTGCGCGGCACGCGTGCACTGCTGGCGCGCGCGCCTTGAAGGTGCCCGTCGGATAGGCGACGCCGGTCGTCTCGTCGGTGCGGGAGCGCTTTGGCGAGGTTGGCTCGCTGCGTGACATTGAGAAGGGGCCCGAAGGCAGGGAGGAGTTCTCCGCCTCGCAACAACGAGACTTGAAGAAAGAACCTGCGACAGCCACTCGACGCTGGCGGGAGGGGTACAGCGGGAAAGAAAAAATTATTTGGCCTTACTGATACTGTGAGCTCTCATATGAAGCGACACCCACACATGTACATGTGCACGTTGCACTACAGGACTGGCGACATGGACATGGACATCGACATGGGCACATGGCACTGGCCCACTGCACACCTCGAGGAGTGCGCCAGACATCGCACACCCGGAGTAAAACAAAGATCACAAAAGTCATGGACGCTCCTTAGCTCCCCCCACAGAACGGTGGGGGCACGAGACGCCCTCGTGGCCCCGAAACCGTCACAGCCCCGCCGGCTCCGGCCGCCTCGTCGGGCTAAGGGACAGCAGCGGGTGGCGGAGCCCCTTGCGGGCAGGGCTGCGCGGCTCGCCGGGCGCAGTCCGCTGTGCGAGCAAGCGCTGCCGCGCGGCGTGCAGCGTCGGCACGAGACTGGCGACGAGCAGCTCCTTGGCCGCCGCGCATCGCTGGCGGTGGGCGGGGCGGAGCGCGATGGCGTAGAGGGCGAGGGACGCGGAGATGGCCATCGCGCCCCCAAAGGAGACGTCCGACGGCGGGTAGGCGTCGGGGCTCTCGACCGCGCGCAGCAGCAAGCAGCCCACCCCGACGACGAGCGCGTTGTTCACGAGCTGCGCACAGAGGCCAGTCGGTGATTCAAGGGTACAGTCAACTGTGCTGCGGCACGCGCGGCGGCGCGACGTTGGAGGCGGGTTTTCGCGGCGGGGGGGGGGGGGGGCAGATTGCCGCGAGGCTGCGGGAAGTGGGGTGGAGCGGGTGCGGTGGCGGGCGAGCGAAGCAGGAAACGCGTCTCGGAAACGTGTCTCGTTCCGTCTCGGAGGTGTCTAAGAGGTGTCTAGGAGGTGTCTCGGAGGTGTCTCGGAGGTGTCTCGGAGGTGTCCCGGAGGTGTCTCGGAGGTGTCTCGCGCCTGCGCGCGCGCGGCCGCCCAAAAGTGGCGCCCCCGGAGGAGGACGAGCAGGAAGCGAGCCACGCCGCCGAGGAGCGAGCCGAGAAGCATCGCCCGCCGGATGGCCGTCGCACCGCCGCTCTCCCCAAACTCGGCGACGACGCCGAGCCGACCCATGGTGGAGTGGACGCGAGCGGCAACCATCAGCACGCCAACTCCGTGGACGAGCGGGAGCGACCAGGCTGGAGGCGGCCCCGGGCTGAATGCAGCGAGCGACGCGAGGCCGGGGAGCGGGAGCAGGCAGACCTTTGCAGAGGGCGGGGGGGGGGAGGGGGGTCGGGAGGGTGGCGAGGGTGGCGACGGAGGGTGGCGAGGGCAAGGCGGCACCGACGATGGCAAGCCACCGGCGCTGGTTGCGCACCCACCGGTTGCGGCAGCCGGACGCGGTGCGGCCGGAAAGGTTGGCGGCGATGGCGCGCCACTTGAGGCGCTCCACCCGCACCGCGTGGTCGATGTACCGGTCCTCCTCCTCCGTCCACATGTCGCCGCCCTTGTCGTCCGGGGTGCTCTCGCCGGAGCCCGAGCCGCTCGCCGCCAGCGCCTTGCGCTGCAGACGGTGCCAGCGATTGCGGACAGAGTCGTCGGTGCGCGGGACGGGGAGGAGCGAGGCGATGCGGGACCACTTCTGCCCGAGCCGCTCAACGCTCTCCGAGATGATCTCGTCCTCGTCGCGCGACCACGCGACCTTGCTATGGCCGCGCTTCCGCTTGTGCGCGCCCGACCCGGAGACAGACGACGCCGTCGAGTCGGTGGAAGAGGTGGAGACGTCGGAGCCGGTCCTCTGCAGGGGGGCAGCGAGGGTGCGATGAGCAGGGTCAAGGCGCGACGGTGGCACGAGGGGTGCCGGCAGGGAGGAGTGTCGGGAGAGAGAGCGCGCCTCCACTTGCGGCTGCGGCAAAGGGTGGAACAGGGTGTTCTCCTCCTTCACGCGGCTTGCGACAGTTATGAGGGCGTCGAGCGTGCTGACGTCGATGACAGCGCCGCCCAGCGAGATGTCCGGCGCGGTTTGCATTGTCATATCGGTTGGCAGAGTGCTTGCAAAAGCGCCGGGCCACAGAAATTTGCAAGCGAGATTCACCCACCTGTTCACACCGGGCGATACGCCGTAAAAAAGAAATCCTGCGGCAAAAATGAACCCAGTGTCCACAGAAATCACAACTGAGATTCCCTACGCCGTAAAAAAGTTTCTTCGAGGTTGCGCGGACGGGTTGTGTGTGTGTGTGTGTGTGTGTGTTGAAGCACAGGTCAGCCTGGGCTATTTCACCTTCTACTCAGGGGTCGATTCCGCATGGACCATATGGTACGGGACCCCTCGATCGTCTCGCGCTCCCTCACTGCACTGGTTCATTGGGGGCGGGGGTCCGCATATAACAAACACGGTACAGGTTACAGGATCGAGCTTCGAGGTGCACGCCGCGGAAACATGTCGCCTCCCCTCTCCATCATCTATCTCCCTGGGAGACGTCGGCGGCGTGGTGGCGGTGTGACCGATCGAGCCACGAGAGGAGCTTTGTTCAGCGGGATCCGGCGCCGGGGGCGCCGGTGTTTTATTTCTTTCTTTCTTTACTGGGCACGGGACTGGCGCACTGGCACTAACACATTGAAGAATTTAACGAGGGAGCACTAACAGCAGACAGGCTCGACACAGGCGCAGGCTGCTGGCGTCCTAACACAGGCAAACCTCCGGAGCCGCCTAAAGCGACTCCGTTAAGAACGAACGGCAATGCATTAGCTCCGTGCATAATGCCGCTCTCCCCGACTCCCAACCACTCCCTTTGCTGCCACTCATGAAATCGTTGGGTCGCTTCAGTTCACGAAGTCCCCCTGTGGGCCGACCCTCCGATTTTATGAGAAGAGAACATAGGGAGTGCGCCGGGGCAGAAGGTACCTATTCACAGATTCATAATTCACACATGTCGCAGGGGACGGCCGCGCTGTGACGCCGACACGGCCGTGGGACTGCACATTGCTTCTACGCGGGGTGGCACTCTCGAGAGGAAGGAAATGGCGCTTGTGCCTGACGGGGCGGCAGGCGCGACGGCGGGTGGGTCTCAGTGGGACACAGGCTGCTGGGGACGGCAATTGTCGCGATGCGAATGCGTTAATGCGTACTCTGACGTCTTCTTCGTCTTCTCCGCGCAGCACGTGGCGCGCCTCCACCAGTTGCTGGCATTCGCCATCAAGTCGCGCTCTCCGAGCCTTCACTGGAGCCTCCACACGCTCCCATGCCACCCAATCGCCGCGGATCGTTACTACAGCGACACAGACTATCCGCAATTCTTCCCGCTGAATTGCAACCCCGTCTACATTCTGTGGCGCAGGCGCAGATGGGGGTTCAATAGTAGCTGCTCCGCGCAGGCACAGGCTTCAAGGCAGGGCTGGCTGCCAACGACGCCTGCGGCGGCATGCCTGTCCGTCACTGCCTCGGAGCCGGCTTGCGCTCCCTCCTCCTCGCTGCCGCTCGCCGCAAGGGTCGCAGGGCGTGAGGCCGGGAGCCCCATTGAGTTGGCCGCAGAGCGCACGCACTGCCTGGCTGCGTTTGAGACGCTCCTCGACATGGCATCTAGGTCTGGCGCTGCCGTGTCGGTGGGTCGCAGCACGCAAACAGCTGTCGGACGTGCCGAACGATCATGATGATGATCTAGGGGTGGGGACCCTGTCCCCCCCCTCGTTTAGGGAACCTCTGCGGAATCAAAGGTGTTATTACAGCACAGTCCGGACATGCGTCCCGAGTAGCGACAAGCGAGTTTTATTTCTATCTGGGCGGCGGTCGCGGCGGGAGACCGGGCGGGAACGCCCGAAGCCGGTGACCGTCGACCCTCCCCGCCCGACACCGCAATCTGTCGGCGAGCTCGACATGGCGGGCCCCGGGTCGAACCGTGCTGCGGCATGTCTCGCCGTGCCGTGACCCGCCGGCCGCTCGCCGCGACAGTGAGGCCAGAGCACCTGCAGCGGGGCACAAACAAGGGCAGAGTGAGCGATCATAGCGAGCGTTGCTGCGTTGGGGCAGGCTGGTGTGAAAGGGTTGGCTGGCGTATGTGCAATGTGGGAAGGTTGGGCTAGTAAGTGCGAGAGGCGGGGGAGAGGCAAGGGGGGTGCGCACTTAGCCCAAAAAGTCGAAGAGCCCGCGGGAGCACTTGCATATCTTGCATCGAATCGGAACCGTGCCAAAGATGGGGAGCTCGTACTCGATGGGCAGCTTATCGTAGATGGTCTCCTTGTAGCCCTCCTCGATGCAATCGAGCGGAAACGGGTTGTCCAACTTCTCCTCCGGCCGCGCCGACAGCTTGAGGATTTTTTCGGTGGTGGCCGGGTCTACACCTAGGATCATGTCAGCAGAGCCAACGTGGCCAGAAGGCGCAAGGCGGATGGGGTGCAGGTAGCGTCTTGGAACTGCCCCACACCAATCATGCTGAGCTGCTTCTCGGTCGTCGAAGGAGAGGTAAGGCCGCTGTCCCGCTTGAGCGCCGGGGCGGGGGCAGAGGCGTGCATGGCGAGAGAGCCGGCCAGCGCGAGGCACCCTGGAGGGGTGACAGCAGAGGTTTGGTGCGGTCCCCGTGCCGGCTGAAGCGAAGGGAGTGTGATGGGCAATTGGCTGATGGATGCGGGGCATTTGCGTCCATCGTGTCGTCTCGAGGCTGCTGAGACATTGGAGATTGAAATTGCAGGGGAGACGGTGCAAGCGCGATCTGGACGAGAAGACGGAATGCACACGCGTGTGAGTCGCACGCTCGCACCGGAGACTGCAGTGAAAAGGAGCACCCGCTTGGTACCGAGCCCGCCACGAGTGGGCTCGTCCTTGATACCTTCAATCATTGGTAACCTAGAGCCAATCAGTCCGCACCGGTTGCAGCAGGGGCGGAGAAAGATATGGAGAGCGCGCGTGCACCTGGGACGTGCGACGAATTGCCGAGTCGGGGCCTATGGGATGGTGAATCGAAACGACTCCTCTGCGCTCATCGTCCGATTAATTTTTTTGCTGACTGAGTTTGCTGCGGGAAAATGATCGATCTCAAAGGAAACGGATTTCGAGATTGCTGTCCTAACTAGTGTCAGTAAAGTGCGCTCCTCTCTCAGAGCACCTCCTCGCCGCACTCGCCGCGCTCGCCGCTCGATGTTGAGTACAGCAGTTGGCTCGAGGCGCTGTGCGGCGGTTGCGCGCGTCGCGAGGAGCTCGCCGTCAGGGCACGCCTCGCGCAGCTCGATGTCTCGAATGGCGTCACACGGGTCACCCTCTAGCCGATGCCGACGAAAAGGAGGTTGAGGAAGGCCCCGAAGCGTCGCATCTTGCTCGGGATGACGTAGAGGTCCTTGACGTGGATCCTCGGGAGACGCTGAGCGTGGAGGGAGGCCCCCATCCAGTCCAGCACGCCGTTGGCTCCGTTTATGTAATCAACGCCCACGAACTTGCCGGCCAGGAACGCCTTGCAGAGGCTGTCGCTCAGGCCGTCGTGGCCGGTGAACCGGTACTTGTCGAGTGTCTCCTTCGGCTGGCCCGAGCTGTCGTCACAGAAAACTGCGGCCGCCAGCGACAGAGCGTCTCGCTGGCGGACGGGGAGAGGAACACAAAGGGACGTACGGACGTCCGTCCAGGGCACGGCTTGCAGTATTCGGCTGGGGATTTGTAGATCTCCTCCGGGTCGGCCACGGTGTTCCGCAAGTAGTAGTCGTCGATGCAAAACGAGCAGGTGGTACTGCCGTTGACCGAGCTGAGGGGATGAGGACACCGATTGCAAAGGCCCTGGCCGGCGTTGGCAGCATAACGACCAGCCTCACACGCGTCGCACGAGTCGCTGCCTCGATCCGACGAGGTGCCGGGAGGGCAAGCCTCGCACTTGGCCTGCCCCTCTTCTGCGGCGAAGGTGCCAGGCGAGCACGGCGTCGGCTCGACGCTGCCCGTGGAGCAGGCGCTGCCGGCGGGACAGGCCGTGCACTCGCTCGCGGCGGTGAGGTTGGTTGCGCGCGAGTAGCTGCCCTTCTCGCACGGCAGCGGCGCCGCCGCGCCCTCGGCGCAGTAGCTGCCCTGTTTGCACGCGAGGCAGCCTGTCGCGCCCGTGTCGTCCTGGTAGGTCCCACCAGCGCAAAGCTCGCACTTGGTGAGGCCAAACGTGACGGCGTAGCTGCCCTTGGCGCACGGCGTCTGCTGCGTCGAGCCCGTGGTGGCGAAGTAGCCCGGCGAGGCGGCTGTGCACTCGCTCGCGGCGGTCGCGCCCTGGTAGGAGCCCTCGGCGCACAGCTCGCAGACCTCGTTGCGCGTGCCGTTGGCGAAGCTGCCCTCGCCGCACGCCGTCTGCTCGGTGGCGCCCCGGGCAGCGATGTAGCCCGGATCGGCGGGCGCGCACTGCGACGCGGCCGACAGGTTCGTCTTGTCCGAGTAGGAACCGCCCTCGCAAGGCAACGGCCTCGACGCGCCCGGCTCGCAGTAGCTGCCCGCCTCGCAGTCGCGGCAGGACGTCGCGCCCGTGTCGTTCTGGTAGGATCCGGCGGAGCAGCGCTCGCACTTGGAGAGGCCATGCGTGGCGGCGAAATAGCCGGGCTCACAGGGCTCGCACGTCTCGCTGCTCTCCGCCCCTGGTGCCGCGCTCGCCGTGCCGATGGGGCACAGCTCGCACGCCGCGCTCGAGCTGGAGCCTCTGTTCGGGTTGAAGCTTCCCGCAGGGCAAGGCTGCCAGACAAGGCGAGTGGCGGCGCCCGCGTCCTCGCAGACGCCGCCCTTCGGGCAGGCTTCGCAGGCGGCACTGCGCACGTCGGGGGAGAAGGAGCCCGCGGCGCAAGGCAAGCACTCCTCTTGGCCGCTCTCTGGCTGGTATTGGCCGGGCGCGCAAAGGAAGCAGTCCGAAATGCTCGCCGCCCGCCTGTTGGGCATGTGGGTGCCGGCGGGGCACTTCTGTGGGAGGACGGATCCCTCCCGGCAGAAATGGCCGAGCCAGCAGGGGCCGCTGCAGTCGGAGGTGATGTGGTTCGACGCGTCCCCGTAGTGACCCTCCGCGCAGAGCCTGTTGCAGCCGGACAGGTCGCCGTCGATCTGGCCGACGTTCGGCATCCAAGATCCGAGCGGGCAGTCCCACGTTAGAGGCGAGGCGGCGAGGATTGTGATGTTTCCTGGCGCAGAGTTGCCGAAGAAGGTCGTGTTGCGGAGGATCGAGTCGGTGGCAGCGATGCGGGAGGTGAAGAAGAGTGCAGCGGGGGTTTGGCTCGCAATGTTGTCGACAAACTGCGAGTTGGTGAGAGCTAAGCGGTCGACGGCAGTGAGATAAAGAGCCTACAAAAGAACACAGTCTGGTCTCCCGTTTCAGTCTGTGCACCCTCTTGTGGAGGGGGCGCGCGGCACCGCACGTGAGCCACTCGTGCAACCGACAACGCTGGACCCCTCGAGCGAGACGTCGCCGCTGTTCCACACAGACATACCTCCTCCGTCCTGCGCGAGTTGGGGCGGGCAGGCATGAGCGGCGAGGGCGTCAGAGAGCGAGAGAGGGCGGGCAGGCCCAGGGCGGCCCTTTGGGGAAATCGTGCCCCCCTTGCCACCCCTTGTCCCTCTCCCTTCTTCTTTCGCTTCTGGCTGAGGCGATGGCGTGCGTGCGTGTGTGCGCGGGGGAGGCAAGCGTGTGCGGGCGTACGCACCCTGCCAGACGTGCACTCGCTGAAACTGGCGCCGTCCAGCGAGACGCCGACGCTGCTGTACACGAACATGCCTCCTCCGTCCTGCGCGAGTTGGGGCGGGCAGGCATGAGCGGCGAGGCCGTCAGAGAGCGAGAGAGGGCGGGCAGGCCCAGAGCGGCCCTTTGGGGAAATCGTGCCCCCCTTTGCAACCCCGTCGTCAATCTGTTCTTCTCGCTTCCGGCGCCGTGATGGCGTGCGAGCGTGTGTGTGCGGGGGGAGGCAAGCGTGTGCGGGCGTGGGAGACGCACCTTGACAGCCGTGCACTCGCTGAAGCTGGCGCCCTCCAGCGTGACGTCGCCGCTGCGGTACACGTTCATACCTCCTCCGGACTGCGCGAGGGCGACAGTGCAAGCGGGGCGTCAGGGGCGTGGGGCTGCTCAGGCTAGCCACAAGGCAATGGGAGAGACATGCGACTAAGAGTGGCGAGGGCTTGCGGGGCCGAGCGGTGCGTGGGAGAGAGGGGCGGCTCACCTCGCTGGCCTCGCAGCCCGTGAAGGACACGTCCTTCATCGCAATGTCGCCAGCGCCATAAGCGTACACCGCACCGCCATAACCAGCACGCCCGTCCACAAAGTGCAGCGCCTCCAGGTAGAGGCTGCAGCCGCCCGAGATGTAGAACATGTTGGAGCTCTTCTTGCCGTCGAGCGTCGCGCCCTCCCCGCTGCTCCGGACCGAGAGGTGCATGTCGCCGCTGCACTCGACGTTGCTGCTAAAGGCAAGGCGGGCGCCCGGCGGGATGAAGACGCTCGCGTTGCGGCCCTGGTCCACGGCCTTGTTGATCTCGTCCCGGATGCCTTGAGGCGTGTGGGCGACGGCCTCGCCGGGGACGAGCGGGGGCAGCGGCGGTGGCGGCAGCCGCGGCGGTGACCGCGGTGGTGACGGCGGGGAGGGCGGCGGGGAGGGCGGCGCAAACGGCACAACAAAAGACTTCCGCTCCTCATACCCGTCGGCAACGGCGAGGCCCTCTTGCCCGAGGCCCGACCAGCTAGCGCCGTCCCAGCCGTCGCCGTACGAGTCCTTCATGACGAGCTCGCACTCGACGCCGGGCGAGAGGGAGACGCCGTACTCGGTCTGGAAGTCTGGGCAGAGCCCCCACCGACACTCGTCTGAACCGGTGTAGGGCACCGACGAGAGGACGACTTCGCCGCCGCACCAGAAGTCCCAGCTCACCTCGCTAGGCCACGATCCCGGCGTCGTGGTGACGGTGTAGTATGCGAGCGGGTACGAGGGCGGAGACGGAGGCGGCAGCGGCGGCGGCACCCCCCAAAGTCCGGAGCCCTGCTCACCAAAGCCAGCCTCGCCAGAGCCAGCCTCGCCAGAGCCAGCCTCGCCCGAGCCAGCCCGAGCCACGGGGAGGAAGCAGAGCAGCAGCAGGAAGGCCACCAAGCCGCGACTCTTGCTCAGCCGGGGACGGACCGCCTTGCTGGCTCGCTGCCCCAAGGCTGCACCGGAGCGCGGCGCGCACATGCCCAACAGCCCGCCGCCGCTGGTTGCGCCGAAGCGCTGCGCCCACTTGCATAGCAGCCCGCCGCCGGCTGCGAGGATGCGGAGCAGCAGCAGCCCACTGCCGCAGGCTGCGAGGAGGAGAAGCAGCAGCGTCGGCGCAGAGGTGCTTACACAGCCGCGGTTGTACTCGCGCTCGACGCCCCACATGGTGCGGCGCGCGCCGCACGGACTGGTCGAGCCCACACTCGCGGTCAAGTCGGGCGGCGCGGAGAGCGCCGCCTCAGGCGAGTGCCGTTCGAGGTTGAAGTGCTTGACCGCGTCTGAGCCATCTATGACCGTCGCCTCAAGGATCTCGCGAGGGATGGTCGCCGCATCCGGCGGCTCGGTGACAGACTCGCGAGAAGCGTCCGCCGGTCCGACGACCGCCCGCCGCCCGCCCAATCTGGCGTGCACGCAGGAGTCGGGAGGAAGAGAGGCACATACGGTGGGAAGGGCAACGATGGTCGCGAGGATGCAGATCATCAACGAGAGGAACGGTGGAGTGAACGCGAGCAAAGACTGGGTCCAAGCAGTTTTCTTTTTGTTCGATTTTAGTTCGATCGAACATAAAAAAGAGCGACAAGCTGAAAAAAACGGATTCGGCGTACTTCGGCTCGCTGCACCAGCACCAGTAGAGCGTGGGGGTCCACGCCGGGAGGCGGCTGAGCCAGCCTTCGTTCGGCCTGGCATACACAATTGCTCACACCGATATATATTCCCGTGCCTCATCGCATCTCATCGCGCACGCCTCTACACTTACCGCCACACCCCGCTCACAAGCCCGCCCTTCCTCACACGTCACTCACGAGGACTGGTCTGCGCGTTCGCAGTCAGCTGCACGGCATCGTCCACGAGCACATCAATGTACCTGCAGCGCACACAAGCCAGGCGGCGCGTGGGTGACTGCACGTGGCCTCCTCTCCCCTCCTCCCCGCCAGCTCACCAGCCCCCTCTCGGGGCGCACGCTGCTCTCACAACCGCCCCGACCACCTCCACTCTCGGTCAATCTCGGTCGATCTCGGCGAATCACCTCGCGAGCTCCGCCCCCATCAGCTCGCGCCACTCGGCGTGCGCCGTGCCGAGCGCGGCCGCCGTGTCCGCCTCAAAGTCGCGCCTCCTCGCGAGCTCGACGCCCTTGGCGAGCGCAAAGTCGACGCCGATCCTGCGTCGGGGGCGCATCAGAGTCCCCATTCGTACGAAGGAGGACAACTGTGCCTGCCCGAGTGCCAACTGGAGTGCATCCAGCATCTAGGACGCCGGTCCCCACGCCCGCACCAACCGCAACGCCAACCGGACCCGCCGCGGCGCCCGACGCGGCGCCCGCCGCCGCCGCCCCCGCCGCGGTGGCTGCCTTGGTCACAAACGGCGCGGCGAGCTTGCCGGCGAGGGAGGAGCTCGCGACGGCGCCCCCGGCGGCCTTCGCGGTCGCCCCTGCCGCGGCCTTGCCCGCTACTCCCGCGGCCGCCCCAGCAGCGGCGCCTGCCTCGGCCAATCTCGGGTCATCTCGGGTGTGATCTCGGGCAGTCTCCAACAGCCTCCGCGGAGCGCGGTGCCCGCAGCCTTGCTCGCGACTGCGCCCGCCGCGAGGGCAGCCGCCGAAGTGAGCCTAGTGCATGAAGCGGCGGGAGTGAGGGTGCGGCGGCGGCTTCCCGCAGCCAAGCCTCGAGTCCAGTTTCGAGGCGGAGAACTAGGCGTCTGCGCTCCGGCATCTAGGCGCAGCGAGCCCCGCCGCAGATCTGTCGTGCGCACCGGAGAGCTGGCTCGCCGCCGCGCGCGCAAAGCGCCAGTCGACGGCGAGCGCCGCCCTCCCCTCTCCGCCGCCCGTGTCGAGGTGGGACGTCTGCTCGCGCAGGAGCGGCAGCGCCTAGGCCTCTGTCCATTTGCGGGACATGACTGCTTTGGTGGAATACGACATGGTGTCCCAGAGCACGTGCGCCACATGGTAGTGCTTGAAGCTGACTGATAGGGCGGCGGTCTCAAGCGGGACGATCTTCTGCGACCGAGCCCGAAACAGGCAGCTGAGAACGCCCTCAAAGCGAGGCCATGCAGTCAATTCGTCGACCTGCATGTTCTCGAACAGCTCCACTTGAATGGGATTGGCGCGAATGAATCGCCCCGTCCACTTTGTGTGAAGTCGCCAGCCCATAGATCTCTGATAAGGTCGTCGTACTGATCTTTAGAATCCATGTGGTGCACCCCTTCAGGCGTGCAGTGCAGCACTTTTGCCGCATTCGCCAACATCTCCGTAGGCGATTGGCACCTGCGCTTGCTACTCGCGCTGCCGACGGCGGACGTGAGGTGGAACTTGCAGTAGGCGAGCAGCGTAGCCAGCAAGAAAGCTGCTGAACGCTGGCTGGGAGCCATGAGCGCGCCGCACGCCGCGCGAAAACTAAGTAATTCGCCGACCCGAGTCGACGGATCCGCCCGCACTTGAAGTATATTTGTGATCGTTGAGATCGCTTTGCGCAAATATTAGTCTCGGATGGCACTTGGCACACATACTCATATACATTCATGAGAGAATTCACATACCATAAAAATCATACTCTCGAAGACAACGACGTGCTCGTGGCGTTGTGCCACGTCTCGCCGCGAGATCATTCTCCCAGCGAGAACCTCTCCCGGCTCGCCCCGACTCGCCTTCTCGCTGGATGCTTCGAACCACGCCTGATCACCATCGTTTTCCACAGCGCGACAGTGCTGGTCAGTGCTCACTGCTCAGCCTCTCAGCCTCACCCGCCGGCGCCAACGCCGCGGGCCCCACCCACGAAGCGAGAGAGGAGAGTCTCGCCCCCAACCACCACCGGAGCGCACCACGACGGGAGACGACGGCGATCGTCCGCCCTCGCTCACCCCCCGCCTCGCTCGCGCCGGAGGGCGGCAGCTTGGCGTCGTCGGCTGCCGCTGCAGTGGCGGCTGGCTGTTTGGGGCTGCCAAAACGCAACTCCTCGATGCGCACGAGCGAGCCGAGGAGCTCCTCACGGCTCCGCCGCGTGTGAGGCCGCGGTGCCACCGGCGGGCGAGCACGCCGACTCTCTGATCCCCGGCAGCCGCCGGAACAAGCGCGCGCGCACGCCGGGCTTCGGACTCTTTGCTGTGCCGCTACCCGTGAGGGCGACGGCGCGAACCGGCACCATCACCTCGACCTCGGGCTTCTTGCCTGGGGCATGCGTACCGCAGGCGGCTGAGGCTGGACTCACGGCGTGTCGGTGAGGCGTGCGCGCGGCGCGGGCGGTGGGCACGGAGGGGGTGCAAGTCTACAGGGATGCCTCTGCAAGGCCTCTGCTCGGGCAAGGCCTCTACCGGGAGGCAAGGCATCTACGGGTCTCGCGCCGCCGCTCCGCTTCTTGAGCGTCCAGCCGACGGCGCCCGCGGCGAGAAGTAAGCTCGCCATGACGAGGCAGACACCGCCTGGGGAGAGGGAGGGAGGGAGGGAGGGAGGAAGAGGGAGAGGGAGGTGGAGGGGTGTGTGTGGGGGGGGGGGGGGGGAGAGACAAAAAGTCGCGCCCACCGAGCCGCAAAACGCCCGGCCGACGCCTCGGAGGGCCTCTTCTTCTGCCGCCCGCCGGGGAAGGGGCCAAATGAATGGAAACAAGCCCTGCTCCGGGCGTGTCCTGGGTCCCAAAAAAAGGGTTTCCGGCGGGGTACAAACCGTTTGGTCTTAAGGGAAAGGGGTTGGGGGGGGGGCGAAAAGATTCAACAGTGGGCAAAGGGGGGAGGAAGGGGGGCAGGAGGCAGGGGGGGGGGGTATGAGGGGCGGGAGGCTCCTGGGCGCAAAACACGTGCCGCACGCCCTGCGCCACCTACATGACTCACTCAACGAGCTCGTCGCCTGAGTCATTGAGTGAGTCGGTGCCGCACGCCCTGCGCCACCTTGCGGCTCCACACGACGGCGGCCGCGCAGCGAGTGTCGGTGGGGTGGGCCACGGGACCGACGCACCTTGAACCGCGGCGTATCGCGGGTACAACTTCGGGTCCTCTCGGCTGAACTCTCGGGTCCTCTCGGGTCGCTCGGAGAGAATCTCGTCTCGGGGAATCTGGGGGAATCTGGGGGAATCTGGGGGAATCTCGACGCACCACCACTGCTTGAGCGCGCCAAACGCCTCGCCGCTGCTCACGCCGCCGCTCACGCCGCTCGCCGACCGGCGCCGGCGCAGGCGGTGGGTCGCGCCTACGTGAGATATGGGGAGATGTGGGAGATGTGGGAGATAGGGGGAGATAGGGGGAGATAGGGGGAGATATGGGGAGATATGGGGGATATGGGGGATATGGGGAGATATGGGGAGATATGGGAGATATGGGGAGATATGCTCGTGCAGAGTCCTCAGAGCACCGCGTGAGTACGCCTTCCCGCGGCACGGTACTAGTACAGTGAATACGGTCGGCGTCTAGCGCGCGCGAGAAGGGGTTTGCTCGCCTTCCCTGGGACCCCGGGTGTTGCATGCCTGACTGTCACCGTGCGATGTCGGGGCCCGGGGTTGTGCGCCTCTGTGAATACGGTGGATACGAAGGCAGTCCGTGCCCTCTCGAGCGCAGGTCGGAGTACGGAGTCCCGTAAGGTACCAGACTCCCGCCACCAGGGCACGAGATAGGTGGAGTCCGGAGAGATTGGGGAGCTGCTCCGCTTCTAGGGCCGCTTGCTGCCGCCGCCGCTCGAGTGGCGCCGCGGCTTACTGCCCTTGCTGCCGCCCTTGCCGCCGCCCTTGCCGCCGCCTCCGCCCCCGAGGCTGCCCTTCCGCTGCCGCTGCGACGCGGCGTGGCCGTCCTCCTGCCAGGGGTAGTGTGGGAGCGGGCTGAATGGGTGGGTGAGTGGGGTGCGTGCGTGCGTGCGCGGGTGGGGATGGGGGAATGGGTGGAGTGCGTGTGGGGATGGGGGGGGGGGGGGGGTGAGGGGGCTAAGTCGGTGGGAGAGCGGCGTGCACCTGCCCGCCCGCGGCGCAAATCTGCAGCTTTGCGCGCTCGGGCGGCCCGCAGTAGGCGGCCTGTGCGAGGCGACGATTCCCCGAGAGTACGAGATTTGCCGAGATTCGCCGTGACTCGCTTGCAGTGGGAGGGCTCGAGAGCCGCCGAGATGACCCGAGATTGGCCGAGAGTCCGCAGTAGGCGGCCTGCATTGCGTGGGTGTCGGTACGCAGCGCCTCGAGGCCCTGCGCGGGCGGCGTGGGGTCTCACTGGCGGTGGGGCGCGCGGTTGTGTGGGTTGGAGGTGTCTGGGAGGTGCCACTGAAGTGTGTCTAGGAGGTGAGGAGGAGATGTCGAGGAGGTGGGAGGGACGTGTCCAGGACGTGTCCAGGAAGTGTCTAGGAAGTGTCTCTGGGAGGAGCCGGGAGGTGTTTGGGAGTGCCAGGAGGGGGAGGTGCCCAGGAGGTGCCCAGGAGGTGTTAGGGAGGTGCCCAGGAGGTGTTAGGGAGGTGCCCAGGAGGTGTTAGGGAGGTGCCCAGGAGGTGTTTGGGAGTGCCAGGAGGGGGAGGTGCCCAGGAGGTGTAAGGGAGGTGCCCAGGAGGTGTTAGGGAGGTGCCCAGGTGTTAGGGAGGTGCCCAGGAGGTGTTAGGGAGGTGCCCAGGAGGTGTTAGGGAGGTGCCCAGGAGGTGTTTGGGAGTGCCAGGAGGGGGAGGTGCCCAGGAGGTGTTAGGGAGGTGCCCAGGAGGTGTTAGGGAGGTGCCCAGGTGTTAGGGAGGTGCCCAGGAGGTGTTAGGGAGGTGCCCAGGAGGTGTTAGGGAGGTGCCCAGGAGGTGTTAGGGAGGTGCCCAGGAGGTGTTTGGGAGTGCCAGGAGGGGGAGGTGCCCAGGAGGTGTTAGGGAGGTGCCCAGGAGGTGTTAGGGAGGTGCCCAGGAGGTGTTAGGGAGGTGCCCAGGAGGTGTTAGGGAGGTGCCCAGGAGGTGTTAGGGAGGTGCCCTGGAGGTGTTAGGGAGGTGCCCAGGAGGTGTTAGGGAGGTGCCCAGGAGGTGTTAGGGAGGTGCCCAGGAGGTGTTAGGGAGGTGCCCAGGAGGTGTTAGGGAGGTGCCCAGGAGGTGTTAGGGAGGTGCCCAGGAGGTGTTAGGGAGGTGCCCAGGAGGTGTTAGGGAGGTGCCCAGGAGGTGTTAGGGAGGTGCCCAGGAGGTTGGGAGGTTCCGTGTTTGGGACGCGTCTAGCTAGCCGCGTGCCTCGTCGCATCATCCCAGGAGGTGATCTCTGTCCCTGCCTCTATCCCATGCGTCTATCCCAGGAGGTGATGCGTCTAGCCGCGTGCCTCCGGCGTCGCATCCTCGAGCAGCTCCTCGAGGCGCTGGTGTACCGCCTCGCGCTCGGAGGCGGTGGACGCCGTCTGCAGCGGTACGGAGAGCGAGGTGTGCGCGTGAGCAGTGCGTGCGTGCTTGTGTGTGTGTGTGTGTGTGTGTGTGTGTGTGTGTGTGTGTTGGTTGGAGGCAGCGGCGGCGCACCGAGTGAGCTAGCTGCAGGACATGTCTTCTGCAGCTGAGGCTCATGTTGTGGCCAGGCTGGTCGCACCACCACGTGTTCATATCGATCAGCTGCGACTCGCGCGGGTAGCGACTCGCGGCGGCCGCCGCGCCAGTGCAGATGGTGAGCACACTCGCATTCCGCTGCCCGGCAGTCGAGTTGCCGCGCTCGCAGAATGCAGCCAGCGCGTGCTTCAGCTCGCGCATCGCCGCCTCGCCAAGGAGGGACTGCCGCTGCGCATGCGAGATGCGGCGCTCCGCCCCCTGCGCCTTGGCGATCTGCAGCGCGATCTCATGCCGCACGCAGAGCGGGCCCGCCGCATGGTTCTCGTCGCCACACCACCAACGGAGGACCGACGGCACGGTGGCGCTGCCGAACGGGATCGACGCGTCGACGTGCGCCAGCGGCGTCTCGCGCTGGAGCGGATGCAGCGGAAGCGCGGCGAGCAACGCCGAGCACAGCATTTCAGACGCTGTGTCCTGTGACGTGCAACAAGGCGCGTCGGGGAATTTCTTTTATTCCCGATTTGAGTGTTAGTGCGCCTGGCGAGTAGAGGCCCCGCCCACCCAGGGTACCCTCTCCGAGGACCCATTTGGGGCTCTTTCGAGGACTCGCCGGGGCTCTGCTCCAAGAGACCTCGAGAGAGCGTGCGTGTGTGCCTCTACTCGCCACTCGCCAGTTTGTGCGCCCTGCGTTTGTTCCGGCAACCTAAAAAATAAAATATGCGGATGCAATCGTGCCAACACTGGAGACCTTCCTAAATACCCGTAATAAGAGAGAGAGAGCCCTCTTGGACGTCCCCATGTAATGGCAGGATGATCGACGCGTTTCTGACTGGGTGGGCCAGAAATGCTAAATTTGATTGCAACTAGAGCTCCACAGCTCACAGCTCACACGGGCACGACTAGTTCCCTGGGCTGCGCCGCTGGTTGCCGATGGCTCGTATGTGGAAGCGGGACGATCGGGTTGGAGAGCACCAGAATGGGACCGTCGCCTTCTGGAGAGCAAACAAACGGAAAACAAACGGCCACCACCTGCGCCGAGGTGCGAGGAGGCTGCACCGGGCCCGCCAGGTGAGGGTGCGTCACGTGTAATTGTGCGCCGAGCGAGTGGGATGGGCGACACCGATCAACGCGAGATATGAGGGTTGTAGAGGAAGGGAAGAATTCCGATCTGGGGGTCAGGGCTCTCTAGCCCGTAGCCCGATCCCGATCATCCGGCCCGCTGGGTGCGCATCTTAGCTCCCCGGCCCTGGATGTGAGGCTGATGACTGCACACTGCACTCCATTCTCCAAGAGTGCTCTCCAAGTTCCTTTCGCTAAGGAGATAAATAAATAAACAAAGAGTTGGACAAATACCAAATTCCAAATCGCAAACATAGAAACCCAAACACAGGCGGCGACGTGGCATACGAGCTCATAGGAGAAGGAGGCGGGCACAAGTTCCAAGGACGCACGAGCGAGCGAGACAGCAGCCATGACGATGATGATTCAGCGCGTGAACGCCAACTCGCCGGCACAGGCCGTGAAGAGCCGCGCACGCGGGCCGACGATTACGCAGCTGCGTGCCAAGCAGGCCGCTCTTGTGGCCGCATCCGAGCTCGCGGCTTCGAGTGATGCCGAGGCGAGTGTGGTAAGGCACTCGCCCGTTGACGAAGCCAAGCGGTGGGCAAGCGGCAAAGGCCGCAAAGTGGGCTTCGCAAAAGCACGTGCCACCTTCCGTGGCGGCGGCACGGGAATCGCGGCGACGGCGGCGAAGCACGACTCGCTCATCAAGAAGGCCCGCTGGCGCGGTACCGAGCAAATTGCCCGGGAGACTCCGGCGGGCTCTGTGTCCGTAGTGACGATGCCGCACCGCAAGGACTTAATAAATAGAGCAGTCAAGACTGTAGACTCCAGGAGAGATGGGCGACGCGCACGAACGTCCACGCCAGAGATTGTTATTCAGCCCAGCCGCAAGGCACGGCTCTCCGCTGGGCCTGGCACTGGACGGCGACAATCGTGGGCGCCAGGCACTCGCTCGCCACCGCCATCACGAGCGAAGCTGCACAAGCAGGCGCGTGCGCTCTCTGATGCGGAATGTGATTCATGATTGCTGTGTGCGGCATCGAGCACGGGCATTGAATAAATAAAACGCGCACGCCAAACGAGGGGTGGGAGAAGGACAGGGTCCCCACCTGCACACGAGCAGGATCTTGTAAGGACGATCAGGAATAAATAAAACGGGCAAATAAATAATAAATAAAACGGACATCCCAAGCTAGGGCTGGGTCGAGGACAGACACGTCCCCACCTTTGCAGGATTTTGCAAAAGCGAGGGGGGAGGGCGCATCGCGGCGCGGAGAGGGCTGGGCACGGGCACTGCCACAGGGGATCTCTCTCGCATAGGATACGCACTCGGCATAAATAAAACGGACACACCAAACAAGGGGTGGGAGAAGGACAGGGCTCCTGTCTCACTGCGCCAGAGCTCTGGCGGAGGCACACGCGGCTTGCACGAACGGCATCGCGGCGCGCGACTTCAGACGGCTAGTGCTAGTCCCCCATCGGGAGGACGACCCCGGCTAGTAATAAATAAATAAAACGGACACCTCTACTAGGAGATGGAACGGACGTCTCTCTACTGTGAGATGGGTAAAAAGGAAACAGGCCCCCGCCCTTGCGATCTTTGTGCAGGGTTCTTTGTGGGTGTGGTCGGCGACTAGCCGGGGTCGTCCTCCCGATGGGGGACTAGCACTAGCCGTCATATCGGTGTGCAAATGTTGTGGCTGTCAAAAAAAAACGGCTGAGATGAAGTATGGTCCGACACATCTAAAGTGGAAGGGTGGAATAAAATTGACACCTTTTTCTCCCAGTAAGCGCGCTAAAGGACGTACACCGAGCAGCTGCGGCTCTAGCAGACATGGGCGGCGGGAGACGACAACGTGCTTCGGAACAAATAAAACGGACAAACTCTGACACTGAGACGAGATGGCATTTAGGGACATGTGTCCCCGCCCTGCACGATCTTGGTGTGAGGATCTTCAATCCGTGTCCCCTCACCCCTCGTCACAACCCGACACGCGGAAGAGCGGTGCAAGAGTGTGGCGTGAGCCGTGAGGGCTAATAAATAAAACAGACATCCCAAGCTAGGGCTGGGTCGAGGACAGACACGTCCCCACCTTTGCAGGATTTTGCAAAAGCGAGGGGGGAGGGCGCATCGCGGCGCGGACACAGAGGCAGAGCGAGTCTAGCGGCGGTATAAATAAAACGGGCAAACTCTGAGACGAGATGGGATTTAGGGACATGTGTCCCCGCCCTGCACGATCTTGGTGTGTGAGGGATGCATCTAAGGAGAGGCAAGGGGCCGGGCTTTATTTATCTTTCAACCTGGGCACACGGGATAAAGATAAAAAGAAATCATTTCCGCGTGTGTATGACACCGCCCTTCAGCCGTCTAGCGTCTTCCCTCAGCCCGCCGCCTGTCCCCGCCAAGGTAGCCGAGAGGCAGGCTTGCAGCTCGCTCACGATTCCCCTCTCACTGGCCCGGCGCCCGCGCCTCGATCTTCTTGGGCAGCAGCTGGTTCGACAGGTCCTCTCCGTGGCCTTGGCAGCCGCTCTCGCCCTCGACCCACGTGAAGACAGCGCCATCGGCGGTGCGGGCGAGGCTGTGGGTTCCTCCAGCCGACACGGCGACGACGCGCTGGCCAGCAAGGTTCTCGACCTTCTTCGGCAGCAGCTGGGCCTGCTGGCCGCCGTGGCCCAGTTGGCCAAGGGCTCCACCGCCCCAGCTCCAGACAGCGCCGTCGGCGGTGAGGGCGAGGCTGTGCCGCTCTCCAACCGACACAGCGACGACGCGCTGGCCAGCAAAGGTCTCGACCTTCTTGGGCAGCAGCTGGCCCTGCCAGTCGCCGTGGCCCAGCTGGCCAAAGTGGCCCAGCTTGCCTCGCAAACCATCGCCCCAGCTCCAGACGCTGCCGTCGGCGGTGACGGCGAGGCTGTGGCTAGAGCCAGTCGACACAGCGACGACGCGCTGCCCCTCAAAGGCCTCGACCTTCTTGGGCAGCAGCTGGTTCTGCTGGTCGCCGTGGCCCAACTTGCCAAAGGCTCCATTGCCCCAGCTCCTGGCGGCGCCGTCGGGGGCGGTGATTGCCATGCTGCCGACACGCTCATAGCGCGCTCGCCGCCCAGCGGGCAAGGGAGGCGGGTCGGCGTGTTGAGCCGCGTCACACCCTCGCCGTGCCCGAGGAGGACGTGATTCGGCGCACAGCCGCACGACGAGAGCCGCCCCTCGCTGTCGATGAAGAGGCTGTGGTAGCGGTCTGCCGCCGCCCTCGCCGGCGGGCTGGACTCGCGCAGCAACGCAGCAAAGCACAGCCACCGCACGGCGCAGCTCTCGTCCTCTGGCTGCGCCGGCAGCTCGAAGCCGCGCTCTTGCGCCCACAAGCGGATGCCCTCTAGCGCGAGCGAGGAGTGAAAGAGCAGCGAGACGGCCGCGACGCGAGCGATGTCGGCGGGGTCGCAGCGAGAGAGGGCGCGCAGGAGGAGGTCCGTGGGGAGGTCGAGGAGGCGGGTGGGCGGCGGCGTGCCTGGCGAGGGAGCGGCGGAGGCGGAGGCGAGGCGGCGCGAGCGGCGCTTTGGGGACATCGCGTGAGAAAGAAATTGTGATGAGCTCCTTTTAAATTCTCGGTTACAACCGCACGGGCGAGTGGCCAGAGCCCATCCTCACCAGCCCTGCCCCGCAGCGCGGCCGCTCGCCAAGCCCCGTCGATGAGTGGTCAGATGGTTAGTGCCCGAGAGCGAGGGGTCCGGGGGGGAGCACAAACATAGGACGCCCAGCCTTGCCCTCGTGCCGCCGAGTGCATATCCTATGCGAGAGAGATCCCCTGTGCCCTGTGCCCAGCCCTCTCCGCGCGGCGATGCGCCCTCCCCCCTCGCTTTTGCAAAATCCTGCAAAGGTGGGGACGTGTCTGTCCTCGACCCCCAGCCCTAGCTTGGGATGTCCGTTGTATTTATTTATTTATTTATTAAATTCTCGTTAGACCTCTCCCCGGCCGTGGGTGTGTGATAGTTTACCGACCCCACTCCAACAAGTTTTCCCCCTTTAAACAACGCTCCGACATGACGTGCCCCAGATTTGTATGCTTCTCTTTCATCAGTTTGCAGTGCCAGTCCCGTACCCGGTGTCGTGCGAGGGACTATGGTTGTCCTCACCTCCCCAACACCCGAGCGTCTTCCCTCAACCCGCCCGCCGCCTTCCCCGCCAAGGTAGCCGAGAGGCAGGCTTGCAGCTCACTCTGTCACTCACGATTCCCCTCTCACTGGCCCGGCGCCCACACCTTGATCTTCTTGGGCAGCAGCTGGTTCGACAGGTCCTCTCCGTGGCCTAGGCAGTCGCTCTCGCCCTTGCCCCACGTGAAGACGGCGCCGTCGGCGGTGAGAGCGAGGCTGTTAGCCTCTCCAGCCGACACAGCGACGACGCGCTGGCCAGCAAGGGTCTCGACCTTCTTCGGCAGCAGTTGGTCCTGTTGGTCGCCGTGGCCCAGCTGGCCAAGGGCTCCACCGCCCCAGCTCCAGGCGGCTCCGTCGGCGGTGAGAGCGAGGCTGTGCCAATCTCCCGCCGACACAGTGACGACGCGCTGGCCAGCAAAGGCCTCGACCTTCTTGGGCAGCAGCTGGGCCTGCTGGCCGCCGTGGCCCAGCTGGCCAAAGGCTCCCAAGCCCCAGCTCCAGACGGCGCCGTCGGCGGTGAGGGCGAAGCTGTGGTGCGCTCCCGTCGACACAGTGACGACGCGCTGGTCCGCAAAGGCCTCGATCTTCTTGGGCAGCAGCTGGCACTGCTCGTCGCCGTGGCCCAGCTTGCCAAAGGCTCCATTGCCCCAGCTCCAGACACTGCCGTCGGCGGTGAGGGCGAGGCTGTGCATAAGTCCAGCCGACACAGCGACGACGCGCTGGCCAGCCAGCGCCTCTACTTTCTTCGGCAGCAGCTGCTTCTGCTCATCGTCGCCGTGGCCCAGCTGGCCAAAGCCTCCATAGCCCCAACTCCAAACGCTGCCGTCGGTGGTGAGGGCGAGGCTGTGCTGTGCTCCAGCCGACACAGCGACGACGCGCTGGCCATCAAAGGCCTCGACCTTCTTCGGCAGCAGCAGCTGCTGCTCGTTGCCGTGGCCCAGCATGCCGCGGCTTCCAAAGCCCCAGCTCCAGACGCTGCCGCCGGCGGTGAGGGCAAGGCTGTGGCAGCCTCCAGCCGACACGCTCACGGCGCGCTCACCGCCCAGCGGGGAAGGGAGGCGGGTCGGCGTGTTGAGCCGCGTCACGCCCTCGCCGTGGCCAAGGATGCCTGGGAACTGAACCGGCGCACAGCCGCACGACGAGAGCCGCCCCTCGCTGTCGATGAAGAGGCTGTGGTAGCGGTCTGCCGCCGCCCTCACCGGCGGGTTGGCCTCGCACAGCAGCGCAGCGAAGCACAGCCATCGGACGGCGCAGCTCTCGCCCTCTGGCTGCGCCGGCAGCTCGAAGCCGCGCTCTTGCGCCCACAAGCGGATGCCCTCTAGCGCGAGCGAGGCGTGAAAGAGCAGCGAGACGGCCGCGACGCGAGCGATGTCGGCGGGGTCGCAGCGGGAGATGACGCGCGCGAGAAGCTCAAGGGGCAGGTCGGTGAGGGGGCAGTGTGCGGCGGCGGCGGCGGCGGCGGCGAGGCGGCGTGAGCGGCGCCGCGGGGCTGACATCGCGAGAAAAAGCAGGAGCTACAAGTGCCCCGCTCCAAGTGCTCCGTTGTGAGTGGGCTTTTGGCGGCCGTGCCTGCGGTATGTGGTGTTGAGTCTGGTGTGTATTAGCTCCGAGTAGAGGGGGGGCGCTCCGCCGCTAGGGGAAACCCAAAGCGCAGACTAACCCTCGGAGACCCGTGTTACTAACCCTCGGAGACCCGTGTTTACTTTATGGCCTCATCCCTGCGAACGCGCACCCCCCATGAAGGGTCGGGGCTTTCTTGCTCGTAGCCCGATGCCGATCATCCGGCCCGCTGGGTGCGCTTCTTAGAGCTCTCCCCCCGGCGGCCCTAGCAATGTTGACTTTCTCGCCATCTCGATTTCCACCCGCCCGACGCGCTCGGTCTCTCTGCTGACGGCTGCCGCAAGAGCGGCTGGCTCACGACAGCGTCTTGCCGGTTGTCGGATGGGAGAGTACAGGACGTCTAGAGTGTAACTGTGTACGTGAGATCGGTCTTGGTATATGGTAACAAGCACGGTCGGTCTATCGAAGCGATGCACTCGTTTTCGTTGCCCTTCGAGCTTGACACAGAGCTCAGCGCGCCCCGCAAAACAGGAAGAGCCGTCTGGCAAGAAGATCTCGATAGGGAGCGAGAACCGTTAGAGGTGCTCCGAGAGGTATCAAGACTCCGTCATAACACGGTAAGATCACTCCAAAAATGACCGCGCAGATGTCGGATCTCGTTGAGATATCTTGCAAAATCTGCTCTTCCCGAGCCGGCAGCACGCAGAGTCGCAGAAAGGCTACGAGTGCTCGACGAGTTTTGAGACCTGCGCGGTCAAACCTGGGGGGAACTGACCGCACCATGACGGACCACGGACGTCCGAAACCTGGAGCAGGCGCACATCGCTTCCAGGGAGGGGGGCGCACTTCTACTCACGCCCCCCCCCCCCCTAGCATGTGGTGAAGCCTCTGGGGGGGTCGGGACCCCCCCCTAGCATGTGGTGAAGCCTCTGGGGGGGGTCGGACCACCCCCCTTGCCTAACACGTGGGGGGCACCCCCCCAGCAGTTCGTGGGCTAGGAATAGCCGCCAGAGATCCGATTTTGGCCCCCAAAGTTGTGAAATCGTGGCTGAAAGTCCACTATCTTGGAGAATCTGACCAGTCTCAAGGCTCATATAGCTCCAAAGGATGATTTCCCCCTCGAAATGCTCGAAATGAGGCGTAAAATCAAGGGCCCGGAGGGTCTGACCACGAGTCTCTGGGGGGGTCCTCGGCCCCACGACCCCCCCCTAGCATGTGGTGAAGGTGCTGGGGGGGTCGGGACCCCCCCCCTAGCATGTGGTGAAGCCTCTGGGGGGGGTCGGACCCCCCCCTAGCATGTGGTGTGAGTAGAAGTGCGCCCCCCTCCCTGGAAGCGATGTGCGCCTGCTCCTGCGTGAGCACCTTTGACGGTCCTCGCTCCCTATCGAGCTCTTCTTGCCGGACGGCTCTTCCTGTGTGCCGGCACAGGCTCCGTGCAAGCCGTCCAGCGTGACGTGACGAGTATATCGCTTCGAAGGATCGACCGTGCTTGTTATCAGTGACTGATATGACGTACATAACAAGGCTGTGAACGGCGCTGAGAGTCCCTTCGAAGACACGCACAACCGTCCCCGATCCACGTCGGTCCTTCGACACAGGTAAAGATCCCCAAACCCTTCCCCAGCCTGCGCACAAGAGCTCACAACCGAGAGAGAGAGAGAGAGACCACCACACCTCCCGCGACGAGCACGCCGCCTCCCGGAGAACAACGAGATCTGCGATTCGTGGCTCGCCAGCCGCATCGCGGCCGCTCGAAAACCCCTGCTGACCACAGGTCCCACCCGCCCACTCCGTCAGGTCCACATCATGTCGAAGAGGGCGGAGTACCCGGGCGACGACAACTATTCCTCTGTCAACCACGTCGCGGACGCCTTGGAGACGCCGGCGACGGCGGGCCACGATGCAGAGGCTGACCCGTTCTCTGTGCCCGAGACGCCGGACCAGGAGAGCGGGATGGTGGGAGTGGCCACGAAATCCAGCGGGGCGAAGCGGCGGAAGGGGAAGAAGCCCATCTCGGAACTCGAGCCGCTCGAGTTCTCCGGCCGCTTCGCCGGCGGGCTCCGCGCCGACCTGCTGCGCCGCGTGCCGCTCTACGTGTCGGACTGGACCGAGGCCTTCACCGGCGGCAATTGCATGAAGACGACCGCCTCCATCTGCTTCCTCTTCTTCGCCTGCCTCTCCCCCGCCGTCACCTTCGGCGCCGCCTTCGCCGACGCGACCGACAACCAGCTCGGCGTCATCGAGACGATCATCTCGTCTGGCATGTCGGGCCTCATCTACTCCTTCCTCTCGGGCCAGCCCCTCTGCATCCTCGGCGCGACCGGCCCCGAGCTCGCCTTCACCGTCGTCTTTTACGAGATCTGCCAATGGGCGCGCTCCCCCCCCACTCCCCCCTCACTCCCTCTCCCCTTCCCCCCCTTCCCACCCGGCCGCTGACCCCCCCCCCCCCCGCCCCCCTGGCAGATGGAGGTCGACTTCCTGGCGGCGCGCGTCTGGCAGGCACTGTGGTGCTCGCTCTTCACGATCCTCGTCGCGCTCTTCGACCTCTCGGCGTGCATGAAGGTCTGCACGAGATTCACCGAGGAGATCTTCTCCTTCCTCATCTCGATCATCTTCATCGTCGGCGCCTTCACCACCCTCATCAAGCTCTACCTCGCCGACCCCGACGTCGAGGGCGACGACCCGGCGGCGCCGGCCAACCGCGCAAAGGCCTTCCTCGGCACGCTGCTCGGCCTCTTCACCTACTTCACCGCCATGTGGTGCCGCGCCTTCCCCAAGCGCAACGAGACGACGCCGCTCGTCCGCAAGCTCATCGCCAACTACGGCGTCACCCTCTCCATCCTCCTCTACTCTGGCATCAACTACGGCTTCCGCGACGTCGACGTGCCCTGCCTCGACATGCCGGACGAGGTTGTGCCCACCGCGACGCTCAACGGGACCGGCGAGTCGCGCGGCTGGTTCGTCAACCCGTTCGGGGACGAGACCGCCTCCGGCTACGACACGCCCGGCGTCGGCTTCATCTTCTTCACCGCCGTGCCGGCGCTCGGCCTCGCCGTGCTCGGCTACCTCGACCAGAACCTGACGACGCTGCTCATCAACCGCAAGGACCACAACCTGAAGAAGGGCGGCGCGTACCACCTCGACCTCCTCGTGTGCGGCATCTTCATCTACCCCATCTGCGGCTTCTTCGGCCTCCCCTTCACGCACGCCGCGACCGTCCGCTCGATGTCGCACCTCATGTCGCTCATGACGCGCGAGGACTCCAAGAACGAGCACGGCCAGACGGTCTCCAAGGTGACCAACGTGGTCGAGCAGCGGGTGACGCACCTGGGCATCCACTGCCTCCTCCTCGCCGCGCTCGGCCTCTCTGCGGTGCTCACCAAGATCCCGAAGGTGGTCCTGGCGGGCGTCTTCCTCTACATGGGCGTCACGGCGCTGCCGGGCTGTGGCTGGTGAAGGAGGTGTGAACAGCGTCTCTTCACACCCGGGCCAACTGAATAGGCGCTGCCGGGCGTGCAGTTGTACGAGCGGCTCTGGCTGTGGCTCATCTGGGACACGAAGAAGTACCCGCAGTACGACTACGTGACCCAGGTGGCGCGCAAGCCGCTCCACCTCTTCACGCTCTTCCAGTTCTCCTGCCTCGCCGTCCTCTACGCCCTGACCAAGGTGCCAAACCCGTACATCTCGGTCATCTTCCCATTCTTCATCGCCTTCCTCCCCCTGATCCGCAAGCTGGTGCCAAAGTGCTTCCCCTCCGTCTGGAGCAAGGAGGACCTCAAGGCGCTCGACAAGTAAACAGGGTTGGGAGCCGTCCGGAGGCCGCGCTCGCCCGCTCGCGAGGCCCGGGCACCGAAGCGCTGCTACTCCTATATGCGCGCTAACGCCCGCGGCTCGCCGCGCGAGCATCGAGCGGTGTGTCGACTGTCGTGCGGAACATGCCTGTCCGGTAAAATCCTTTCTTTTTTCGCGCGGAAGCTTGCTGATGGGGTAAAAGGCCTGATTCGTACCTCGAGCGGAAGCTGAGCGCCGACGCCATCGCCACCCCGGGATAGCAGCCCTTAGGTAGGTAGTGCGTACGCGACGCGCGGCTGGCGGCGGGCCCGGTGAGCCCGCCGCCAGGGTACTACTGTACTCCCCCTGCCCCTCCTCCGCCTCCCCCTCCTCTCCTCCGCATCCCTACACCGGCCGCAGCCCGCCGCACCCCGGCGGCGGCGGCGGCGGCGGCGGGCGCGAGAACACACACGTCCGCTTCGGCGGCGAGGGCGGCAGGCACGATCGCGGCGGGGGAGAGGGGCCGGCGGGGGAGGACCCGGGCCGGTGCGGCACGGCCGGTCGGACGGGCGCCACCAGCCGTACGCCAGGCCGCCGCCCGGGCCGCCGCCCGGGTACGGCGGCGGCGGCGTGGGCGGCGCCGCCTCGCTGCTCCGGCAGCAGCTCGGCATGTCGCGCCCGCAGCCGCCACACAACCCGTACCAGCATCAGGCGCCGCCGCCGTACCAGCATCACGCGCCGCCGCCGTACCCCTCCCACGCGCCGCCGCCGTACCAGCACCACCCGCCGCCGTATCAGCACTTGCCGCGCCCGCCGCCGGGCGCGCCGCCGCCGTACCAGCACGGCGGCAGCGGTGGCGGGCCGCCGCCAAGGCCGAGGCAGGGCGGCTCGAGCGACGCCAACCGGAGCGCCGCGGATTTGCTACGGCAGCAGCTGATGCGTCGCTGACGCCTCTCTGCGGAGCGCGACTCGCGGGGCGGGCGGAAGTATCCCCTGCACTGGCTCGCTCGCTCGCACCGCGCAGCTCTCGCTCTTGCCTCTTCCCCCCCCCCCCCCCCCCGCGCCCCGCGCGCCGCGGCCGCATCATCGTATAAAAATGAGGCGGTTTGGGTGTTGAGGTGCACTGTCCACTGACACGCGCACGTGTGAGATCGACCGCGCCACCTTTTTAAATGCACCTACTAAGACACACCTCCATGCGCACACCTCCCTTGTACGGCTCTAGGCCTTAGGCTTAGCGCACCTTTAACGAGATTCTCGGCTCTATATGCTCTATCTCGACTCTCGGACGCACACAGCCGAGCCAGAGCTGCCCAACTCTGCCACATGCACAGATCAGTCGTTGACTCCGAGTCAACGTCCCTAGACCTTACCTAGACCTTAAAGAGGGTCGATTACGAAACCTTTCAAGCACAAAAACAAAAGGCCACGGACGTAGGTGGGTAGAGACGACACGAGTTTCAATGGACAGAGGAACGCTATAGTGAACAACAGCGAGGGGGGAGGGGGTGGGAGAGAGAGCGAGCGAGTGGACAGAGCGGCAGATGATGCCTTGGGATTCGAACGCAAGACTGCCCGATGGGGGCGCTTCTCACTGAGTTGCTCACTCAGAGGAGGAGGACGAGGACGAAGGGGGGATGTTGACGTAGCGATGCGGCCACCACTGACCTTCGCAGATGCCAGAAGTCGTGCACAACTTTTCATCCGAGCACGGGTCTTGTTGAGAGTAGAAGAAACCCTCGCGCGACTTGCAGCACCCCTCGGGGTTGGGGCAAACCATATCACACATCTGGAGGTAGGCACTCTTCACCATATTCACCAGCGCCTCGTCGTTCGCCTGGCAGGAGCCGTTGGGGCACCCAATCTCGTCCATCGCACAACCCAAGCGGTAGACCTCACGGGAGTGGAGGATCATCTCCTTGGTGCCCTTGAGAGCCCAGAACCCCTCCGCATTGAAAGTATGATACTCAGCCCCGCCAAAGGTATGTCCAGAGGTGCAGTTAGGATCAGGATCAGTCACCTTCCCTTTGTTGATCTCGCAGTATTTGGAGGTGGCGAACTTTGCCATATCCTTGATGGTCAGCTCATACATCTGCACCATGTTGTTGGCAGCAGGTGGATTGTAGCTGGCGAAGTCCCAGCATTGGCCGTCTCGAAGCCAGTCAATTCCCGCGAAGTCGACATTCTCGAGGTTCATCTCCCACGGCTCGCCGATGGATGCCGCGTCAGAGCAGCGGTACCCCCTGATGGTCAGAGGCCCGGCGGTCGGCAACGGCTTCACGACGCTGGGATCGTCGACGGAACGGATCGTCGCCTTTCCCCCTTTGTTGAACACCTCGTAGACAGTCCGTGGTTCCTCGCGACAAAAGTAGCAGTTGTCAACGCCACGGCATGGCTCAACTTTCTCCTCGGAACCAGGGCAGCACTTCAACTTCGTGTGCTGCGGGTTGTCGTACATGTCATGGCCTGCCTCCGTACACGACGTGTCGAGGTCAAGCACACGGTACTCCTGCCCGTCCGGTACGTTAATCGGCAGAGCGTTGGATCCAGCGATCAGCATCAGCTTCAGTGCCAACATTGTTGGATCCTTTGACGGGGAGAGTGAGAGACACGGTGAGGCGCGCGTTGGGAACGGATTGCGAGTGTCGGCGGATGGGGACGGGCGGGGCCGGCAGCTCACCCGGGGACGATGGATGTGCTAGACAGTCCTGCAAGGCTGCCAGTTTTGCGATTACAGCCTTGCAATGGCCGCGGATTTCCTTGCAGGCTGATCGACCGAAGAGAGCCTTCCGAGGTTCTTGAGCACTTGAGCACTGGATAGGGTCGATTCCGCGTGGTACGGGACCCCTCGATCGTCTCGCCCTCCCTCACTGGTGTGTTCATTGGGGGGGGTCATAAACAACAAACACGGTACAGGATCGAGGTGCATGCACGCTGCTGAAGCAGTGTCGTCCCCCCTCTCCCCGACGGCGATGGCGGTGTGACGGTAGAAAGGTCAAGAACAGCCAGGCTCGGACAGCCCTTGACCTTCTCCCCAACGAAAAAATCAGTCCTGTCTGGGCGGGGGGGGGAAAGAGACGGAGAATTCTTAAGACACAAGCCTCTCTCACAGCACACTGGCACGACAAGGGCGCGGACTGGCGCGGACTGGCACACAGAGACGGAGAAGAGATTCATTGAGCCTTGGCACCAGCCGGGCAGTGGGTTTGGCCCTGGCATCAGCCGGGCATGTTGTTGATTTGGCCTTGGCATCAGCCCTGGCAGGCGGGCACGCGGGACATGCACAGGCGCCAAGGGGCGCAGAACCGACCTAACCCGTCGGAGGTGGGGGGAAGGGAGTACCGCCGGGTTCCCCTGCGTGAGCGCAAGAGTAACCCCGAGAGGGCTGAGGATGAGCGGTACGCGCAGGGGTCGGCGTGACGGGGCGAGGGACGCGCCGCGCGGGGCGCCGCCTCACCGGCCCAAGTGGCGCAGGGCGAGGCGGCGAGAACCGAGCGAGCACGTCCTCGTGAGCCCCGTGGCTCCAACCAGGCCCTTCCTTTTTTTTGAGCAGGTGTGACGCCGCGCGAGCGACGCTCCGAGATCGCCCGAGATAGCGCGGCGCGGCGGTGGGTGAGGTGGGGTGGGGTGGAGTGGCGTGGCGTGGAGCTCCGGGATTGCGCGAGATCGTGCGAGACCGCCCGAGGTCACGCGGCGCGGCCCGAGATCGCCCGAGATCGCGCGGCCCGAGATCGCGCGGCGCGGCCCGGGGCGGGGTGGATGGGTTGGGAGCGAGGGGGCGAAAGTGTTCAGTGCGGTAGATGGTAAGCTCGAGGCGCGTGAGCCGGACTTGGGAGCCGGACCACCCCCTCTTGTTATCTGCGTTGTTGAGCCAGGACTCAACATACTCGGGCTTGCTCATCCCAAACTGTCACTCCCCTTTCGCCCGGCCGGGGTGGGGCGCGCGCGGGGGCGGCGGGTGTGCGGCGGGTGTGCGGGACGTCTGTGGGCCCGAGAGCGATATGCCGTGTCCGCCTTGCGTTTGTTTCATAACATCGAAGGCCACCCGAAACGGGCCATCCGAACGATGGCAGCCAGACAGACGACGAATTCACAGTGATGGACGTAGAAGAGGAACAGCCAGAGGACGAGGCGCCCCAGCCGCCGAGGAAGCGAGGGCGCTTTGAGAATGAACGTAGCGATTCGATGAGTCAGGGAGAGGGGGCGAGCAAACAGCATGGAGAGGATGGAGAGCCGGTGACGAAAGCCCAGAAGCAGCGCCTACGCAAACGAATGGAGGGATCGGCAAGAAAATCGGGGGATCAAAAGTCATACGAGAAAGACCGCAGCAAGAGGCGAAGAGGAGGAGGGGTGAGGGAAAATTTCTGAACGGCCGAGCCTGCAAAGCAGGCCCGGACAACTAAGAAGGTCCCTCGCCCAGTGTTCAGAGATCGTAGTGGAACTTAACAATGCTCGTAAAACCATGATCGATGCGAGGACGCAAGTCCACCAACCTCGGCCATTCCAACGGCCAGATCGCTCGCTTAAGGCTGATTGGCTAGACGAGCGGTCTACCTCCAACGGGGCGGTCCGGGAACGCGTGGAACCTGCCCGCCTCGGTGGGAGGTGGTTTGGCGCCGACGGGCCGCCCTCTCCACCACCCTCGCCCAGGGATCTACAATGCTGTCTTAAGGTCCGACAGGTTCGGCACCGGGCACCGCCTCGGTATACAAAATGCGCCTGCGGGCGGACCCTTACAGATCACAGATCACATCGAGGCTAAGCTCAAAAAATACGCCGGGTGGCGTCCTCGCCTTCCCCGCTCACATGACGAGGCTTTTCTGCCTCTTCGCGCTCGTCGGTGGAGCCCGCGCCGGCGCGCTCGGCCTGGACGTGGGCGGCTCCAGTTCTGTCATCGCCGTCGCGCGCAGAGGTGGCGTGGACGTCTTGGTGAACGAGGCGACAGAGCGGTCGACGCCTTCGCTCGTCGGCTTTGACGGGCGCAGGCGCCGGCTTGGCCTGAGTGCTTCTGCCACACGCTCGCGCAGCCCGGAGGACGTGATCGCCCCGAAGCGCCTCGTCGGCCCCAAGTCGGCCGAGTCGCTACAACCTCGCCCCGCAGTCTCGCTGAAGACGTCTGGCGACGGCTCCGTCTCGGCTGAGGTCGAGTACTGCGGCCAGCGGCGCACATTCACGGCGGTCCAGCTGTTTGCGATGCTGCTCCGCCACCTGGCGGCCACGGCAGAGCGGGACCACGGCTCCGCGCTCCGCGAGGCGGTGATCGCGGTGCCTCACCGCTACAGCGCAGAGCAGAGACAAGCCGTCCTCGATGCGGCTCGGCTCGCAGGCCCGCGCCTCTCCCGCCTCCTGCCCTCCGCACCCTGCCCTCCTCCCGCCTCGCTCGGCCCGTCGAGCCCGCCCCCTCACCCCCCACCCACTCCCCACCGCCTACCACTCACGTGCCCACCGCCTCGCCGACTCACCGCCTTGCCGCCTCGCTGCCTCACTGCCACCGCCTCACTGCCTCACTGCCACTGCCTCGCTGCCTCACTGCCACCGCCTCACTGCCTCACTGCCACCGCCTCGCTGCCTCACTGCCACTGCCTCGCTGCCTCACTGCCTCACTGCCACCGCCTCACTGCAGGCCCTCGCCACCCGCCACCCGCCACCCGCCATCCGCCACCCGCCGCCCGCCACCCGCCACCCGCCACCCGCCGCCCGCCACCTCGCCGCCTCGCCGCCCCGCCACCCACCGCCTCGCCGCCTCACTGCCGACATCTGCAGGCCTGCGCTGCCTCCGCCTCGTCTCGGAGGGGGCCGCCGCCGCGCTCGACTGCGCGCTCTCGAGGCGAGAGTCACAGACCTTAGACAGCAGGGAAGAGTCGATGAGCAAAAAGAGAAGCCGTACTGCGGTCGCCACGCCCGCGCACTTGAGCCAGCTAGTGCACGCAGCCCGAGACTGCGCGGCGTGAGTTCTGGTCTAGCAGGGCGAGCGATTGTTGACCAGGCCAGAGTACACGCAGCCCGAGGAGCGGGCGGTCGCCTTTGTCGACGCGGGGCACGCGGCAACCCAGGCTTGCGCGTGCGGGGAGGCGTCGAGAGAGGGGTGGACCCGCCGTCGGGCGTCCAACACGGGGGCAGTTGTCGACTCCAGGTCTGCATCGCCTCGATCAAGCAGGGCCAGCTGCGGATGCTTGCGCACGCGGACGCCGCAGACGCCGGAGGGGAGGCACACAGCTGCACCCCGCCCGCCACGCCAACCCCCCCCCCCCCACACCCACCCCCCCACCCCCGCGCCCCCGCGCCCCCCTTCCACGCTCCCGCCGCGGAGGGGGAGCCCCCCGTAAAACCAAGATTTGTGCTGTACCGTGGGGATGACGAGACCCACTCTCCCTGAGGGGGGGGGGGGATGCCCCCCAAACACCTTCCCCCCCCCCCCCTTTTTAGCCACACACACACACACCCTGCTGGCTCCCCGGCTCCCCGCTCGGCGCGACCCCCCCCCCCCCCACACACACCCCGACAGGCCCTCGACGAGCTCCTGCTGCGCCACTTTGCGGCGGAGATCGAGGCCCGGCACGGAGTCGACGCGCTGGCGGGCGCGCGGTCTGCAGAGAGGCTCTGCGCCGCGTGGCCGAGGCTGCGCGTGCGTGAACGGCGTCTCTTCACAGCTGCAGCCGTGAGCAGGCTCCGCGCCGCGTGCGAGGGGCTGCGGCGCGTGCTCTCGGCGAACAGAGAAGCGTCCTTCTCCCTCGACTGTTTGGTCGGTGAGACGGACGTGTCGGGCTGCCTCACGCGCGCGCAGCTCGAGGAGATGGCGGCGAGATCTAGCCGAGATCTAGCCGAGGCGTAGCGAGAGAGGTAGGTATAGCTCGAGGAGATGGCGGCGAGATCTAGCCGAGATCTAGCCGAGGCGCAGCGAGAGAGAGAGCCGAGATCGAGCAGCTCGAGGAGATGGCGGCGCCGCTGCGTGGGCGGGAGGAGGGGGCGGGGAGGCGTGGACAGCGCCTCTTCTCACGCGAGGCAGTGAGCAGGCGCCGCTGCTTGGGCGGGTGCGGGAGGCGTGCTGCGCGGCGCTGCGCGGCGCCGGCCTCGAGCTGCGCGACGTCTACTCCGTCGAGATGTTGGGAGGCCTCTCGAGGATGCCTGCCGTCGGGGAGGCCGTCTCTACCTCCTTCCAGATGCCGACGCGCCGCTCGCTCAACGCGGAGGAGGCACGAGATCTGGGGAGATATGGGGAGATGTTCCGCTTCTAGGCACGAGATCTGGGGAGAGATGGGGAGATGTTCCGCTTCTAGGCACGAGATCTGGGGAGAGATGGGGAGATGTTCCGCTTCTAGGCACGAGATCTGGGGAGAGATGGGGAGATGTTCCGCTTCTAGGCGGTCGCTCGCGGCGCGGCGCTCGCGGCCGCGCTTTCGAGCCGCTCCTTCCGCGCCAAGGAGCGTGCGTGCTTGCGAGAGCGATTCCTCCTCCTCCTCGGTCGTAAGGATGAGACGGAGGGCGATAGGAGTTTGCCGTCTGCGAGTGCCTCTCGGCTGGCTACACCTTCGAGTGGGCCTCCACCCACCCGCCTCCCGCTGCTGGTGCTGGCGGCGGTGCTGTTGCCTCGGATCTCGCCGGCCGTGTCGACGCGCCGGCGCGCGCTCCGCTGCCGTGGCGCGCTTCGGTCGAAGGGACAGTCCCGCTGACTTGCGAGGTGCGCGCGGGGTGCGACGGCGCCGCCAGCCCCGCGCTGCTGCGCGCCGAGCTCAAGGGTGGCGGCGGATCGCAGCGGCGCAGGCCGCTCGTGCGGCGCGGGGGCGGCGCGGGGGCGGGGCAGGAGGGGCCGCGGGCGGGCGAGGCGGTGCGGCTCGAGTTCTCGGTGCGTCTGCGCTCGGCTGCGGGAGGAGGAGGAGGAGGAGGGGGGTGTGGCATCGGTGCGCGGTTTGGGGTCTGTAGGTGAGCGAGAGCGGTCTGCCAGAGCTGCGTGCGACCGTCGTCGAGGCGGAGGCGCCGGTGCAGGCTGCCGCTGGAGCGTTGGAGGGGGACGCGGCGGAGGAGGAGAGGGGAGAGGGGGAGGAGGAGGAGGGGGAGGGGGAGGAGGGCGTGGAGGCGGTCGGCGCCGACGAGGCTGGCGGCGGAGGCGGAGAGGGAGAGGAGGACAGTTTCGGCGCGGGGCAGGAGGCGGGCGCGGTCGGCGGCAAGGGTGCGGCGGCGGACGCGCTCTCTTCCCGCCCCGCGCCGCTCGAGATCGAGAGGCGTCGCTTCGGCCGAGATCTTCCCCTCTCCACCTCCTTTCCCCTCCTCTCCCCTCCTCTCTTTTCTCTCCTCGCTTCCTCTCCTCTCCCGCGGGGCTCTGTTCGAGTCGAGTTGCCGGTCTGCCAGCTTGGCACTGGTCGTCGTGTTATTTTGTGCCTGGGCATTCATTTCGATTATTTTCCTTCCTTCCTTCCGGCCTCTCC